GGCTTCAGGGCGCCCAAGAAAGTCCAGCAAGCGCCAGGACCGTCTCCTAAAGTTGATTTAGCTGCGGGATCGGGCCACCACCAGTGCAGAGCTTGCTCAGGAATGGCAGCAGGCAGGTGTGAGTGCATCGCACAGTGAGGCGAAGACTTTTGGAGGATGGCCTGGTGTCAAGAAGGGCAGCGAGGAAGCCACTTCTCTCCAGGAAAAACATCAGGGACAGACTGATATTGTGCAAAAGGTACAGGCATTGGACTGCTGAGGACTGGGGTAAAGTCATTTTCTCTGATGAATCCCCTTTCCGATTGTTTGGGGCATCCGGAAAAAAGCTTGTCCGGAGAAGACAAGGTGAGCGCTACCATCAGTCCTGTGTCATGCCAACAGTAAAGCATCCTGAGACCATTCGTGTGTGAGGTTGCTTCTCAGCCAAAGGAGTGGGCTCGCTCACAAGTTTGCCTAAGAACACAGCCATGAATAAAGAATGGTACCAACACATCCTCCGAGAGCAACTTCTCCCAACCATCCAAGAACAGTTTGGTGACGAACAATGCCTTTTCCAGCATGATGGAGCACCTTGCCATAAGGCAAAAGTGATAACTAAGTGGCTCAGGGAACAAAACATCGAAAGTTTGGGTCCATGGCCAGGAAACTCCCCAGACCTTAATCCCATTGAGAACTTGTGGTCAATCCTCAAGAGGCGGGTGGACAAACAAACAACCCACAAATTCTGACAAACTCCAAGCATTGATTATGCAAGAATGGGCTGCCATCAGTCAGGATGTGGCCCAGAAGTGAATTGACAGCATGCCAGGGCGGATTGCAGAGGTCTTGAAAAAGAAGGGTCAACATTGCAAATATTGACTCTTTGCATAAACTTAATGTAACTAGGTGAATCCAGGTGAAACCTATGATCCCTTATTGCAATGTATGACTTTACCCTTTGTTCTTCATCAGGTCCTTGTTCGTCAATACAGTTTGTGTCAACATCAATCATCTTCAGTCAACCTAATCTAGGGCACAGATCTTGTTAATATATTAATTAAACAATTGTTTTTTTTAACTGCCCAAGGGGCTATTTTCCTGATAGAAGTCCAAGTACGACATCCACTTCTCTAATTGACTATATTTAAACACTTGGTCCTATAATAATATAACCTATTAAACTTGTGCCAGGAGAATTGTTTACAGTAATGGAATCATTTCACAGCATCTATTTCACTGCTATCGTTGTACTCATGCAACCCCCTGTATTCATTGCGGTCCACCGTTTCTGAAGCTGTTGTCTAAACACTATTGTGTTCTTACTCCATCGATTCAAAACAAGAATCCCATTCATTCACACATGTTCACAAAACAGCCATTTATTTGGGTTAAACAAATGAAATGTTTACAGAAAAGAGAAAAGAAGTTAGACTTAGTAGAGAGGAGTGGAAACAAAAGAGTTAGGAGTTCTGTGACTGCTTGACTGACACGTGAAGGTTGAGGGGGAGACTTATTCATGTAACAAGGAGGCTTGGCAGGCCCAATGCCATCTCTGTGCCCAGCCAAGGATGGCAACAAGATGTTAAAAGTCTACCCTTGGTATAGTATTTGTGCATGGAATCACTTCAGATGAGGGAAAGGAAGTTCACATCGAGTTGGTGTAAAGTAATAATGTTTACTGAACTCACATCTGAAGAGCAAGCATGTTGGCATATGTGAGTGCTTTTATTTTTTTCAACAGGTACAGTGCCGGACAGGTAGACAGGACAGTTAGACAGGACAACATATAATAACAATTTTGACATTTAATGTCTTAGGGAGAAGTGGCCACATTCAATTATATATGGGAGAAAATGTTTGAGTGCTTGTTTGCTGCGAAGGAATCTTTTAGCCAACAGTGTCAATAGAGACGGCTTCCATTCTATTACATATTCTCTGATTCAGATGGGTTAAATGCGGAAGACACATTTCAGTTGAATGCATTCAGTTGTACAACTGACCAGGTATCCCCCTTTCCCACTTATATTGTAGTTGTGAGTGTACAACCAGTCCAAAACCAGATATCTCAATTTAACGCATGTATATTATCTTCAACAAAATATACTTTCTACATATGCTTAATACCCTTTGTTACACTTAGTTAATCAAATATTATCAGTACTACTGCCATTATGTGAAGATGGCATAGTGTACTGCTAATATGATTGAATTGGGCAGTTAAGAGCGTTGAGACAGTAACCGAAAGTTCACTGTTTTGAATTCCCGAGCCGACTAGGTGAAAAATATGTCCGTGTGCCCTTGAGCAAGGCACTTTACCCTAATTGCTCCGGTAAGTCACTCTGGATAAGAGCGTCTGCTAAATGACTCAAATGTAAATGTTAAATGTAAATTACCCACTCGTACAAAGATCCTGAACCTTTGTAGTAAGGGTAATTAACTTGGGCAGTTGGCAGTAGTGTGCTGTTCATAGCACATTATTTCAAATTAATGTCTTGCTGCCCCCAACAGCCTATCACCAATTCAAATGTTCTCTATAGAAATAGAAATCAACTTGAGACAAAATCATTCCAAATTACATCAGATTAATGCAGTTTACAAAGCAAATATGTAAAAGCTCCTAAAATGAATTACGTATAGCTGGAGTACTTAGAAAAAAGAACAAATACTCTTGGTCTTGACTTGTTGAGGCACAAGACTGGAGCTGATCTGGCCTGTTGATATCTGTGCCTAAGTGAAGTTCAGCATCTAGCCAGGCCATGGCTCTCTGAGGCTGGAGCGGGAGTGCATGCATTGCTTTCCTCACACCACTAGGGGCATGTTCTCTAGATCCTGGGGGATTTCCAGACACAAATCCCTGAAGCTGGAACTCTGCATCTGCATGGCCATTTCGCCATTAGTTTCCAAATCCCCCGTTTGGCTCCTGACCCCTTCTTTTGCCTGCTCCTCCTCCCTTTCCTCCCTCTCTTCTTCCCCCTGCTCTTCATCCTCCTCTCCATCCACCTGGACCTCCTCCAACATGACGCTGGCATCGCAGGGCCCCACGATGCCCCACTCGGAGTGCTCAGTGCCACAGTCACCTGCGCCGCTCATCAGGTCCACATTACTGCGGGCGGGGCGAGGGGCACGGGCCTGGCGCCTAAGACAGCACACCTGGCAGGCCAGGACCACAGTAGAGACCAGCAGACACAGGATCAGGCCCCCGGCGCAGGCCACTACTATGAAGCCCAACTGGGGCTCAATGAGGCAGCCCGGGGTGGCCTCTGTGGGGGAGCTGGAGGTGTCTGGCTGTGGGGAGGTGTCAGGGAGGGTTGTGCTGTTGTTTTCCTCTGGGGTAATGGAGTTTAGGTCAGATGGTTCTGTGGCCATAGTGGTCTGAGGCTGAGAACTGCTGGTGTGTGAAGCTTGTCCAATCAGAAGGAAGAAGAGAAGATGGAGAGAGATTCTGGAGCCTTCCATGTTTCAGGTTCTCTGAAATGGTAGGATAGGAAGAGAATAGCTTTTGTTGTTCATGCCAGCAAACAGTCTGTGTTGTGACATTTTGTTAATGTTTGAATATAGTTCTAGAAATTGTGTGAGTTACACATGCTTGGGGTGCGCAGAGTTATTGCAGGGTCTCGTTTTTTTGTTGTTGTTGACCCCACCCAATGTTTTTATAAATATCCTAGCAACATTTTGAATTACATACCTACAGTAGAAAAGAGGAGAATATCTTATTTTTAATGATGTCAACTTTATTTCTCAACTCCTAATATTGAGCAAATTACACTCATTGGAGCTTATTACACTCACTGGAGTGTCTGTCTGACATAGGCTTGGAAAAGCACCCGCGAGTACCAGTCGCGGCAAGTGCCCCTGGCTGCAGGTAGGCTTTCTTGACTTGGACATTTTTGCCAACACATGGCTAACCTTTGTTTAACCAGATAAGCAGCTGCTATTAGCAAAAATGTGTTTGGGGTTACCTTTCTAGCAATAGGCTATGTTGGAGTTGACACTTCCACTTCCAATTATAATGTGGGGAGGTCACAATAATGAAAAACTGTCTACCAAATCTATTCACAATTTTTGTTTAAATGTGTATTTATTCTCCCTGCCATTATCATTCAACTGATAAGACAAGATGTGATTAATAAAAAATATTGCTAACTAGCCCAGATAAGTCTTCCACGCACTGTCACAGTACAATTTACTCACAATTAATTAATTAATCAGTCAATGTGTTAATGAAGTAGACCAATACACTTGCCTTACCATAAATAATAACTTGTAGCAAGTTAGTTTTATGCAATACCTTTCAGGAATGTATTACGTACAATAAATGACAGAATAAGCTAGATGTCTTTGGTAAAATTTTTTACAAATTATCGTTTTGTCATTTTCATTGCAATGTCTACTTAAAATAAACTGAATCTTAGCACAAAACCACATTATTTGGTTATTACTTTTTTTTGTACAATGTATGTTGGAGATTGTGTGGGCATCACTTACCTGGGAAAGGGCACAGCCGTAGAGTGTGTGTGTGTGTGTGTGTGTGTGTGAGAGAGAGAGGCAAGGTGAACTGGACTAGGAAGGTGTCAGTATAAGGAGCAGGCGGGCGTGTGTGTGTCTCAGTCAGAGGAGGCACCTGCTGCGACCCAAAGCCTCTTGAGATGCACACACTTCCTATCCCCCCTCTGGTCTTTTTCTGACTTAGTTATTTCTGGGCTCCTTGAACCTCCACCGCTGTAGCACACAGATGTCTGTCACATGCTGCAAGAGAAAGAGACAGAGAAGGGTGTATGTAAATTAGTATAGGCCTACAATTCAGTCGAAGACTGCCAGCTACCAGTAAATGTTACTAATAATATACTGCTAGTGATTAACTATTTTTAGGCCTGAGAAGCAGATTTTTTATGTATTTTTTTAACCGTTATTTTGACACGGTCATGCCGAGACCAAAGTCTCTATTTCAGAAGAGCCCTGTAACAAAAAAACATTGTGTATGAAATGCTTTCAGAATGGGATAAATTTATATTTTTATCTGTATGAATCCACCGTGAGACTGTTCTATCTAAACCAAAGAGACCAGAAAATACCAGTCTTTTTGGATTTATTTAACCGGTAAAGGTCTTTCTTTTTAGAGGTTGAACTGGCTGGCTGAGAAGTGCACCTTCTACCTACTCCTCTTCCATCAGATCTATCCTCAATTTCTCTTTCCCTTCTCTTTCCGCAGGTTTAAGACAGGCCAGATCAACGGAGACCTAATCTACCATGTGCTGCTGACCCTGAAGCCTTACTACTCCAAGCCCTATGAGATCGTAGTGGACCTGACCCACGTGGGGCCCAGCAACCGCTTCAAGACAGACTTCTTGTCCAAGTGGTTTGTGGTGTTCCCGGGCTTCGCCTACGAGAACGTGACAGCGGTCTACGTGTACAACTGCAACACATGGGTGAGGGAGTACACCAAATACCACGAGAGGCTGCTGACAGGCCTGAAGGGCAACAAGCGGGTGCAGTTCATCGACTCGCCGGCGCGGTTGGCGGAGCACGTAGAGGCAGAGCAGCAGAAGCTCCCGGCGGCCACGCTAGCCCTGGAAGAGGACCTCAAGGTGTTCCACAACGCCCTCAAACTGGCCCACAAGGACACCAAGGTCTCCATCAAGGTCAGTAGCGCACTGGTCCGTGTGTAACCCTAGCATTAACCCTAACTTTCAAACTGGCCTACAAGGACAACAGGGTATGGGGAACAGGGAAGTGTGAAGGGCAGGCGGGAACAAGTAGAATTGTTTACTCAAAGGTCCCATGCAGCTGTTTTTTGGGTAACAATTAAGTAACAATTAAGTACCTTACTGTGATTGTTTTAAATTAAAATTGTCAAAAAAATAATAATGCTTTTTGATAGGACTGTCTGGGAGTGGTCTAAATGGGGAGGGGAAAACTGAAAATTAGCTGTTATTGGCAGAGGGGTTTGGAACTCTTTCTTATTGGTCTATTAACCTCTACGGGATCGGTGTCCCGTATACGTGACGGTTGAGCTAACGTGCGCTAAAGTGATTAGCATGACTGTTGTAAGTAACAGCAAACTTTCCAGGACATAGACATGTCTTATATGGGCAGAAAGCTTAAATTCTTGTTAATCTAACTACACTGTCCAATTTACAGTAGCTATTACAGTGAAAAAATACCATGCTATTGTTTGAGTGCACAACAACAAAAAACGCATCACGGCAACTGGTTTGATACATTCACCTCTGAAGGTAAATAATGTACTTACATTCAGTAATCTTGCTCTGATTTGTCATCCTAAGGGTCCCAGAGATAAAATGTAGCATAGTTTTGTTTGCTAAAATCCATTTTTATATTCAAATGTAGGAACTGGGTTCTACAGTTTGAACCACGGCTGTCTCTGGCTCCACCCCCACCCGCCCGGCCATCTAGATGTGTGAAAGTTAGTGTATAAGCTAATGATCCATCATGTATGACATTCCTGGTAGTGTGTAAACTTAAATTTTGTATTACCGTATAATTTTTGTATGTTCTCTATAGAGCCAACTAGGTGAAAAATCTGTCTATGTGCCCTTGAGCAAGGCACTTAACCCTAATTGCTCCTGTAAGTCGCTCTGGATAAGAGCGTCTGCTAAATGACTAATATGTAAATGTGAATGTTATGTACTTGAAAATGTATCAATTGACCAATTTGGCACATTTGGGCAGACTTGATACAAAATAGTCCAGTATTGCAATGCTTCACTGGATCAATCTGAAACTTTGCGCACACACTGCTTCGATCTAGTGGCCAAAATCTAAATTGCGCCTAAACTGCAATATTATATTGTGGCCTTTCTCTTGCATTTCAAAGATTTTTTTTTTTTTTATGAGTTTTTTTTGTTTGTATTATCTTTTACCAGATCTAATGCGTTATATTCTCCTACATTCATTTCACATTTCCACAAACTTCAAAGTCTTTCCTTTCAAATGGTATCAAGAATATGCATATCCTTGCTTCAGGTCCTGAGCTACAGGCAGTTAGATTTGGAAATTTCATTTTAGGCGAAAATTGAAAAAAAGGGTCTGATCCTTAAGAGGTTAACTAATTTACAGCATGGTGATGTCACCATGGAAAATCACAACTCCATCGCACCAAAACAGGCTGAAATTTCAGGTAGTCTTTTCAAACAGCTCTTACACTAACAGGGCTTCATCATCATTTTCACAATTTTACAGTGTTATTCCAACCTCATAGTGTAGAAATATATATAAACTCAGCAAAAAAAAGAAACGTCCCTTTTTCAGGACCCTGTCTTTCAAAGATAATTCGTAAAAATCAAAATAACTTCACAGATCTTCTTTGTAAAGGGTTTAAACACTGTTTCCCATGCTTGTTCAATGAACCATAAACAATGAATGAACATGCACCTGAGTAATGGTCGTTAAGACACTAACAGCTTACAGACGGTAGGTAATTAAGGTCACAGTTATGAAAACTTAGGACACTAAAGTTGTCTGCCGAAAACCAAACACTGCATTCCACAGTAAGAACATCATACCAAAGGTCAAGCGTGGTGATGGTGTGGTGGTTTGGGGATGCTTTGCTGCCTCAGGACCTGGACGACTTGCCTTAATAGAAGGAACCATGAATTCTGCTCTGTATCTGAGAATTCTACAGGAGAATGTCAGACCATCCGTCTGTGAGCTGAAGCTGAAGCGCAGCTGGGTCATGCAGCAAGACAATGATCCAAAACACACAATCAAGTCTACATGAAAATTGCTAAAAAGCAACAAATTGGACGTTTTGGAATGGCCTAGTCAAGGTCCAGACCTAATCCCAATTGAGATGTTGTGGCAGGACTTGAAACGAGCAGTTCATGCTTGAAAACCCACACGTCACTGAGTTAAAGCAGTTCTGCATGGAAGAGTGGGCCAAAATTCCTCCACAGCGACGTGAGAGACTGATCAACAACTATAGGAAGCATTTGGTTGGAGTCATTGCAGCTAAAGGTGGCACAACCAGTTATTGAGTATAAGGGGGCAATTACTTTTTCACACAGGGGAATTGGGTGTTGCATAACTTTGTTTATGAAATAAATGAAATAGATATGTAATTGTTGTGTTATGTGTTCACTTATGTTCCCTTTATCTAATATTAGGTTTTGGTTGGAGATCTGATAACATTCAGTATCACAAATATGCAAAAGTAGAGAAAATTAGAAAGGGGGCAAATACTTTTTCACAGCACTGTATATATATATATATATATATATATATATACACACACAGTGGGGAGAACAAGTATTTGATACACTGCCGATTTTGCAGGTTTTCCTACTTACAAAGCATGTAGAGGTCTGTCATTTTTATCATAGGTACACTTCAACTGTGTGAGACGGAATCTAAAACAAAAATCCAGAAATTCACATTGTATGATTTTTAAGTAATTAATTTGCATTTTATTGCATGACATAAGTATTTGATCACCTACCAACCAGTAAGAATTCCGGCTCTCACAGACCTGTTAGTTTTTCTTTAAGAAGCCCTCCTGTTCTCCACTCATTACCTGTATTAACTGCACCTGTTTGAACTCGTTACCTGTATAAAAGACACCTGTCCACACACTCAATCAAACAGACTCCAACCTCTCCACAATGGCCAAGACCAGAGAGCTGTGTAAGGACATCAGGGATACAATTGTAGACCTGCACAAGGCTGGGATGGGCTACAGGACAATAGGAAAGCAGCTTGGTGAGAAGGCAACAACTGTTGGCGCAATTATTAGAAAATGGAAGAAGTTCAAGATGACGGTCAATCACCCTCGGTCTGGGGCTCCATGCAAGATCTCACCTCGTGGGGCATCAATGATCATGAGGAAGGTGAGGGATCAGCCCATAACTACACGGCAGGACCTGGTCAATGACCTGAAGAGAGCTGGGACCACAGTCTCAAAGAAAACCATTAGTAACACACTACGCCGTCATGGATTAAAATCCTGCAGCGCACGCAAGGTCCCCCTGCTCAAGCCAGCGCATGTCCAGGCCCGTCTGAAGTTTGCCAATGACCATCTGGATGATCCAGAGGAGGAATGGGAGAAGGTCATGTGGTCTGATGAGACAAAAATATAGCTTTTTGGTCTAAACTCCACTTGCCGTGTTTGGAGGAAGAAGAAGGATGAGTACAACGCCAAGAACACCATCCTAACCGTGAAGCATGGAGGTGGAAACATCATTCTTTGGGGATGCTTTTCTGCAAAGGGGACAGGACGACTGCACCGTATTGAGGGGAGGATGGATGGGGCCATGTATCGCGAGATCTTGGCCAACAACCTCCTTCCCTCAGTAAGAGCATTGAAGATGGGTCGTGGCTGGGTCTTCCAGCATGACAAAGACCCGAAACACACAGCCAGGGCAACTAAGGAGTGGCTCCGTAAGAAGCATCTCAAGGTCCTGGAGTGGCCTAGCCAGTCTCCAGACCTGAACCCAATAGAAAATCTTTGGAGGGAGCTGAAAGTCCGTATTGCCCAGCGACAGAAGGATCTGGAGAAGGTCTGTATGGAGGAGTGGGCCAAAATCCCTGCTGCAGTGTGTGCAAACCTGATCAAGACCTACAGGAAACTTATGATCTCTGTAATTGCAAACAAAGGTTTCTGTACCAAATATTAAGATCTGCTTTGCTGATGTATCAAATACTTATGTCATGCAATAAAATGCAAATTAATTACTTAAAAATCATACAATGTGATTTTCTGGATTTTGGTTTTAGATTCCGTCTCTCACAGTTGAAGTGTACCTATGATAAAAATTACAGACCTCTACATGCTTTGTAAGTAGGAAAACCTGCAAAATAGGTAGTGTATCAAATACTTGTTCTCCCCACTGTATATATATATAAAACACAGGAAAATCACATTTTTGACTTCTTTGGGCCTCAATCAATTTGAATAGATTAGTTTGTTGCCAAAGGGAAAGTAGAAGGTTCAATTGATTGGCTATTGAGTCCTGCTTTATGTAGCAGCATGCGACAGCTGGTCTGTGTTGTCATGTACACACTTGTCGCTCAACAACAACCCTCCCTATTATCCCAGGTGGGCACCACGGCCGTCCAGGTGACGTCAGCAGAGCGTACCCGTGTCCTGGGTCAGTCGGTGTTCCTCAACGATGTGTACTATGCCTCTGAGATCGAGGAGATCTGCCTGGTGGACGAGAGCCAGTTCACCCTGACCATGGCCAACCAGGGCACGCCCCTCACCTTCATACACCAGGAGTGTGACGCCATCGTCCAGTCCATCATCCACATCAGGACTCGCTGGGAGCTGTCGCAGCCAGACTCCATCCCCCAGCACACCAAGATCAGGCCCAAAGACGTGCCGGGCACCCTGCTGAACCTCGCCCTGCTCAACCTGGGCAGCTCAGACCCTAGCCTCAGGTCAGACATTCAACATAGCTAAACTCTCTAGCTTCTTGGTGGATTCTGGGAAATGTAGTCCCATGGATATCTCGGGGGGGTCAATCAGAGCAGGTCTTGGTTGTAGCGTGTTCTTTGAAATATGAGCAGTAGCTAAATACAACCAACTTCCTGATTTGAAATGGAATATAGTAGCTCAATCAATCAATAAAATGTATTCATAAAGCCCTTTTTACATCAGCAGATGTCACAAAGTGCTATACAGAAACCCAGCCTAAAACCCCAAACAGCAAGCAATGCAGATGTAGAAGCACGGCGACTAGGAAAAACTCCCTAGAAAGAAAGAACCCTAGAGAGGAACCAGGCTCTGAGGGGTGGCCAGTCCTCTTCTGGCTGTGCCGAGTAGAGATTATAACAGTACATGGCCATTAAGGCCAGATTTTTCTCCAAGATGTTGTGAGTATGTGTGAGGAGATGGTGTTATCTAACCTCTGCTGTGTGCCTTAGCTAACTGTGTCCCCTCCACAGGTCTGCAGCCTACAACCTGCTGTGTGCCTTAACCTGCACCTTCAACCTGAAGATCGAGGGCCAGCTGCTGGAGACCTCAGGCCTGTGTATCCCTGTCAACAATACCCTCTTCATAGTCTCCATCAGCAAGACGCTGGCCGCCAACGAACCACACCTCACCCTGGAGTTCCTGGAGGAGTGCATCTCCGGCTTCAGCAAGTCTAGTGAGTCTAGAACACGAACGCACACAAACACATATACTCACAAATGCATTGACTGAAATTCATTCCAAAAGATGCCCTCTCACTCTCTTTTCTCAGTCACACCCACCCGACCATGTTCTCTTTTACAGACCCACACTGACACTCTTACTTTCTCTCAGTAGACATGCACTCATACACACAGACAGGTGTAACGATCCACATCAACATGTCCTGACCAGTTGATGCGAAAGCCATTCGTTTTGGGGGGACTGTTTGATTGCCTTATCCATCAGTGTGCATTGAGCCATGGCTCTGGAGCCCTCGGCTCTCAGTGCGGGTGTCATGTCATTCATCCACACGCCAACCTCTGCTCCTCCACACTGCAGCAACAACAGAGGAGCTGGTGTTATCTAACCTGTGATTCTGTGTGTTTAGGTATTGAGCTGAAGCACCTGTGTCTGGAGTACATGACCCCCTGGCTGCTCAACCTGGTGAGGTTCTGTAAGCACAATGACGATGCCAAGCGCCAGCGCGTCAGCACCATCTTGGATAAGCTCATCACCATGACCATCAGCGAGAAACAAATGTACCCCTCTATACAGGCCAAGATCTGGGGCAGCCTCGGCCAGGTGAGAGTCACCGCACACACACACACTCGCTCTCACACACTCACGTAAGCATACACACCAGTTGTTTGACCAGTTGTTACATTTTAGTGAAACACTCTTATCTTAGAGGGCACATGTTTGCTTAATGTACTGTTAAATGTCTCCAAGCTCAATAGAAACTGCCCATGTTGGCATTCTCAGAGAGTTAGGCTTACAGAGATGGGAGGCAGCCAGGTAGAAGATAGGAGGGACATTTAGCATTTTTATAGGCACAAGGAATGGTTTATGAATCCAACATGCCGAATCATAGCCAGTGTTTTTCAATATAAAACATTTTATAGGCACAAAGAATGGTTTATGAATCCAACATGCCGAATCATAGCCAGTGTTTTTCAATATTTAAAAAATGTATAGGCACAAGGAATGGTTTATGAATCCAACATGCCGAATCATAGCCAGTGTTTTTCAATATAAACATTTTTATAGGCACAAGGAATGGTTTATGAATCCAACATGCCGAATCATAGCCAGTGTTTTTCAATATAAACATTTTTATAGGCACAAGGAATGGTTTATGAATCCAACATGCCGAATCATAGCCAGTGTTTTTCAATATAAACATTTGTTATAGGCACAAGGAATGGTTTATGAATCCAACATGCCGAATCATAGCCAGTGTTTTTCAATATAAACATTTGTTATAGGCACAAGGAATGGTTTATGAATCCAACATGCCGAATCATAGCCAATGTTTTTCAATATAAACATTTTTATTGAGTTGTTTTATTTTATTGAGGGTATCGAAATGACAGAACTCTGGGGTTTGAAGTGTTCTTCCTAAATATCGTTATCTACATTGTAAAAGTTCAATGGCTTGTCTCAGATGACTGCAATATAGACATCTGAATATAGCTCTCTCCATAGATAATAAACAACTCATTCTAAACTCATGGTAGAGTTTCCTTCATATTTTTCATACCCAACCCATTCCTTTTATATCCATTCGGGGTGGTGAACAAGTGCACACTTTGGGGAGAATGGCAGTTCCTTGTGTCTGACTTTGTGACCTGTCAATTCTACATAATGTATTTATTTCTGAACAGTCCCTAATGTTTAGCCCCACTGAATGCAACCCAGATTGTATGTGACCTGGTGACCTTGTAACCTGACCTGTGACCTCTGCCCTCAGATAACGGACCTGCTGGACGTGGTGTTGGACAGCTTCATCAAGACCAGCGCTACAGGAGGCCTGGGCTCCATCAAGGCTGAGGTCATGGCTGACACAGCTGTGGCTCTGGCCTCAGGGAACGTCAAACTGGTCTCCAGCAAGGTGGGTATCTACACTTTGAGCTAGTTTACCAGGCTAACACAGGCTAAGACATGCTAACTGGGCCAACGGTTTTCAATGGCAAAATGGCTAACAGTTTCCTGTCAGTCTCATGTTAACACTGACAGGGTAACATGGCTAGGCTAGCATTCCTGCACTGGGAACATTCCTCCGTGTCACTGTCTCATGCTAACACAGCTAATACTCCTCCATGTCAAGCCCTGTGTCCCAACATGGATGACGTCACTGTCCTTGTCCTCAATGAACCCTCTGGTCGGAGACCGTTTTCCTCTCAGAAACTCCATGAAATCACTATCTCAAAGTATACTTTAGTAAAACTCTGTTAGAATCTTAATCACGGCCTAACAGTCCCAAGATGGATTTTCTAAATCATCATTTTGGATTAAGCAAATAAATATTCCGGTGTTATCAATATTATGATGCAGACAGTTTTTGTATGATACGAAGATAGACTCATCGAAACACTTTGTCCCAGACAACATATATTAAGTGCTGTTTTTAATCTAAAATGTCCTCCAAACAAAGAACATTTAACACTTACCAATTTAGTTTAGTTACGACTTCTCTCCACTTACATAATCCAAACTGACCGACTCATCAACTCAATGTCCATCATCTGTGAGCTGTTTATCCCAATTGTCCCTCTTACTGAGATAGAAACACAGACAGACACAAACCCTCACAGCCCAGGCAGACAATAGTAAGCCAGGCCCTCGCTCCTATTGTGGCAGACACTGTAAAGCATGGCAGTGAATGGTCGTCATTGTGAAGATGTTTTGCTAAGGAACAGCAAACACAGTGCTCTTTTAGTTGAAGTGTCGTAGCAGCCATCTTAGTCATTTACATCTATTTAAGTGAGTAATCAATGACTTTAAGCTTCACATTTGATTTGTAATTTGCAGGGTTTGTGTGTTCTGATATAGTCATCTTAATGTACACATCCATAAGAGGGTGGGCATTGTTTGGTTGGCATGTGCCAGCCCAGCCACTACTGATGTCATGACAGGCCAGCTATTGGGGACAAAGGGGACTTTGTCTGGTCCCCTTGGCCTATTTGTCACCCAAGGCTTGAGCCAATTATGTTTTATTTACAGATATAATCACTGCCATCTTCTCTCTGCCTCCTATTACGCCAACATCCAAAAATACATCTGAAGTTTTTTTTAGGGAGACTGCTCGCTTTTAACATAAAATACCGGGCCTCCTGAGTGGCACAGTGGTCTAAGGCACTGCATCACAGTGCTTGAGGTGTCACTACAGACCCAGGTTCGATCCCAGGCTGTGTCACAACCGGCTGTGACTGGGAGTCCCATAGGGCGGGGCAGCGTTGTCCTGGTTAGGGGAGGGTTTGGCCGGGGGGGCTTTACTTGACTCATCACGCTCTAGCGACTCCCACGGTTTGGCGGGTCATGTTTCGGAGTACGCATGAAACTCTAGACCACCTCTCCCGAGCCCATTGGGGAGTTGCAGCGATGAGACAAGATTGTAATTGGATCGCAATTGGATATCACGAAATTGGGGAGAAAAAGGGGGTAAAATACAAAAAGAAATGTTAAATAAATAAATAAAATACCAAAAAAGATACTGCTCTTGGCAGATATTAATTCTGTTGATGTTAACTCCATCAGTAAGCTCAAAGTATATGATGTCATATCACTGACTCTACCTTTTTAATACCTCATAATGATTGGTTATCTCCACACACCCTCTGACCAGGTGATTGGCCGGATGTGTAAGATCATCGACAAGACGTGCCTGTCTCCCACGCCCACCCTGGAGCAGCACCTGATGTGGGATGACATCGCCATCCTGGCCCGCTACATGCTCATGCTGTCCTTCAACAACTCTCTGGACGTAGCGGCTCACCTGCCCTACCTGTTCCACGTGGTCACTCTGCTGGTGGCCACCGGCCCCCTGTCCCTACGGGCCTCCACACACGGCCTGGTCATCAACATAATCCACTCTCTCTGCACCTGCTCCCAGCTCAACTTCAGTGGTGAGGAAGCACACCGTATCTTCCCTGCAGACTATATACCATCTGTAGTTAAACGGCATACCCTTCCCTGGTCATTAATGTGTATGGATGCCACTGGGCTCCCGTGCAAGTAAGATATAATTGAGAGATCTAATGTAAACACAGCATGCAGTGAACTATGAAACTGCTTCAATAGAGGTAGATTTCTGTGTTATTTCTGTTCATTTAGACCTATTTGCTATAGATATCAGCGTTCAGGGTTTCTCTTTCAGAAGAGCAACAAGCCATCTTCTCCTTTTGTCATGATCTCTTCCAGAGGAGACCAAGCAGGTCCTGAGGCTGAGCCTGACAGAGTTCTCCCTGCCTAAGTTCTACCTGCTGTTTGGCATCAGTAAGGTCAAGTCTGCTGCGGTCATCGCCTTCCGCTCCAGCTACCGCGACCGCTCCTTCTCCCCCGGCTCCTACGAGAGGGAGACCTTCGCCCTCTCCTCCCTGGAGACCGTCACTGAAGCCCTGTTGGAGATCATGGAGGTGAGGGAGACACACACACAGGCATGCACAAACACACACACATTACTTGATATATTGTGCTTGATGAATACCGTATAATGTCCAGAATACATGCAAATCCCAATGTCTGACTGAATGTGTCCTCTCCTGAAAGGCGTGCATGAGGGACATCCCAGCGTGCAAATGGCTGGACCAGTGGAACGAGCTGGCTCAGAAGTATGTTTTCAGATATCCTTTGAGACAGATTCACTTTGACCACTATCAATGAATATATACACACTCTTTTTACGGCCCTCTAACCAATTGTGCTATTATGTGTGTTTTTTCGCGTTATTTGTAATTTATTCTGTACATAATGTTTCTGTCACCGTCTCTTATGACCAAAAATAGCTTCTGGATATCAGGACAGCAATTACTCACCTCGTATTGGACGAAGATTTTTTCTTCAAGGAGTCGGACGTAAAGGATATTCTACAGACACCCAACAAGGCCCAAATCCCCGTCATTCGCATGAGAAAGAGTGACGGAGATATCGTGGACGTAGGTCGGGGGACCTTGTAAGGATCCGACGGCGAGCGAGTAATCTGCCTCTTCCATCAATCCTATAAGCCAACGTACAATCATTTGAAAACAAAATGGACGACCTAAGATTACGGTTATCCTACCAACGGGACATTAATAACTGTAATATCTTATGTTTCACCGAGTCGTGGCTGAACGACGACATGGATAACAAACAGCTGGCGGGATATACGCTACATCGGCAGGATAGAACGGCTGACTCCGGTAAGACAAGGGGTGCTGGTCTGTGTATATTTGTAAACAACAGCTGGTGCAAAAAATCTAATACTAAGAAAGTCTCTAGGTTTTGCTCGCCTGAGGTAGAGTATCTCATGATAAGATGTAGACCACACTATTTACCAAGAGAGTTTTCTTCTATATTTTTCATAGCTGTCTATTCACCACCACAAACCAATGCTGGCACTAAGATTGCACTCAATGAGCTGTATAAGGCCATAAGCCAACAGGAAAACGCTCATCCAGAGGCAGCGCTCCTAGTGGCTGGGGACTTTAATGCAGGGAAACTTAAATCCGTTCTACCTAATTTCTACCAGCATGTTAAATGTGCAACCAGAGGAAAATAAACTCTAGACCACCTTTACTCCACACACAGAGACACATGCAAAGCTCTCCCTCGCCCTCCATTTGGCAAATCTGACCATAATTATATCCTCTTGATTCCTGCTTATAAGCAAAAACTAAAGCAGGAAGCACCAGTGACTCGGTCAATAAGGAAGTGGTCAGATGAAGCAGATGATAAGCTACATGACTGTTTTGCTAGCACAGACTGGAACATGTTCCGGGATTCTTCCAATGGCATTTTTTTATTAATTTTTTATTTAACCAGATAAACCAGTTGAGAACAAGTTCTCATTTACAACTGCGACCTGACCAAGATAAAGCAAAGCAGTGCGATAAAAACAACAACACAGAGTTACATATGGGGTAAACAAAACATAAAGTCAAAAATACAACAGAAAATATATATATACAGTGTGTGCAAATGTTGCAAGTTATGGAGGTAATGCATTAAATAGGCCATAGTGCAAAATAATTACAATTGAGTGTTAACACTGGAATGATAGATGTGCAAGAGATGATGTGCAAATAGAGATACTGTGGTGCAAATGAACAAAATAAATAACAATATGAGGATGAGGTAGTTGGGTGGGCTAATTTGAGATGGGCTGTGTATAGGTGCAGTGATCGGTAAGGTACTCTGACAACTGATGCTTAAAGTTAGTGAGGGAGATAAGAGTCTCCAGCTTCAGAGATTTTTGCAGTTCGTTCCAGTCATTGGCAGCAGAGAACTGGAAGGAATGGCGGCCAAAGGAGGAGTTGGCTTTGGGGATGACCAGTGAGATATACCTGCTGGAGCGCATACTACGGGTGGGTGTTGCTATGTTGACCAATGAGCCAAGATAAGGCGGGGATTTGCCTAGCAGTGATTTATGGATGACCTGGAGCTAGTGGGTTTGGCGACGAATATGTAGTGAGGACCAGCCAACAAGAGCGTACAGGTCACAGTGGTGGGTAGTATATGGGGCTTTGGTGACAAAACAGATGGCACTGTGATAGACTACATCCAATTTGCTGAGTAGAGTGTTGGAGGCTATTTTGTAAATGACATCGCCGAAGTCAAGGATCGGTAGGATAGTCAGTTTAACGAGGGCATGTTTGGCAGCATGAGTGAAGGAGGCTTTGTTGCGAAATAGGAAGCCGATTCTAGATTTAACTTTTGATTGGAGATGCTTAATGTGAGTCTGGAAGGATAGTTTACAGTCTAACCAGACACCTAGGTATTTGTAGTTGTCCACATACTTTAGGTCAGACCCGCCGAGAGTAGTGATTCTAGTTGAGGAGTACACCACATCAGTCACTGGCTTCATCAAAAAGTGCATTGATGACGTCGTCCCCACAGTGACCGTACGTACATACCCCAACCAGAAGCCATGGATTACAGGCAACATCCGCACTGAGCTATAGGGCAGAGCTGCCGCTTTCAAGGAGCGTGACTCTAACCTGGACGCTTATAAGAAATCCCGCTATGACCTCCGACGAACCATCAAACAGGCAAATAGTCAACACAGGAGTAAGATTGAATCGTACTACACCGGCTCCGACACTCGTCGGATGTGGCAGGGCTTGCAAACTATTACAGACTACAAAGGGAAGCACAGCCACGAGCTGCCCAGTGACACAAGCTGCCCAGTGACACGAGCCTACCAGACGAGCTAAATGACTTCTATGCTCGCTTCGAGGCAAGCAACACTGAAGCATGCATGAGAGCATCAGCTGTTCTGGATGACTATGTGATCACGCTCTCCGTAGCCAATGTGAGTAAGACTTTTAAGCAGGTCAACATTCACAAGGCTGCAGGGCCAGACGGATTACCAGGATGTGTACTTCGAGTGTGCGCTGACCAACTGGCAAGTGTCTTCACTGACATTTTCAACATGTCCCTGACTGAGTCTGTAATAGCAACATGTTTCAAGCAGACCACCATAGTCCCTGTGCCCAAAAACACTAAGATAACCTGCCTAAATGACTACCGACCCGTAGCACTCACGTCTGTAGCCATGAAGTGCTTTGAAAGGCTGGTCATGGCTCACATCAACACCATTATCCCAGAAACCCTAGACCCACTCCAATTTGCATACCGCCCCAACAGATCCACAGATGATGCAATCTCTATTTCACTCCACACTGCCCTTTCCCACCTGGACAAGAGGAACACCTACATGAGAATGCTATTCATTGACTACAGCTCAGCGTTCAACACCATAGTGCCCTCAAAGCTCATCACTAAGCTAAGGACCCTGGGACTAAACACGTCCCTCTGCAACTGGATCCTGGACTTCCTGACGGGCCGCCCCCAGGTGGTATGAGTAGGTAACAACACATCTGCCACGCTGATCCTCAACACGGGGGCCCCTCAGGGGTGCGTGCTCAGTCCCCTCCTGTACTCCCTGTTCACCCATGACTGCATGGCCAGGCACAACTCCAACACCGTCATTAAGTTTGCCGATAACACAACAGTGGTAGGGCTGATCACCGACAACGATGAGACAGCCTATAGGGAGGAGGTCAGAGACCTGGCCGTGTGGTGCCAGGATAACAACCTCTTCCTCAACATGATCAAGACAAAGGAGGTGATTGTGGACTACAGGAAAAAACAGAGGACTGATTACGCCCCCATTCTCATCGACAGGGCTGTAGTGGAACAGGTTGAGAGCTTCAAGTTCCTTGGTGTCCACATCACCAACAAACTATCATGGTCCAAACACACCAAGACAATCGTGAAGAGGGCACGACAAAGCTTATTCCCCCACAGGAGACTGAAAAGATTTGGCATGGATCCTCAGATCCTCATAAAGTTCTACAGCTGCACCATCGAGAGCATCCTGACTGGTTGCATCACCACCTGGTATGGCAACTGCTCGGCCTCTGACCGCAAGGCACTACAGAGGGTAGTGCGTACGGCCCAGTACATCACTGGGGCAAAGCTTCCTGCCATCCAGGACCTCTATACCAGGCGGTGTCAGAGGAAGGCCCTACAAATTGTCAAAGACTCCAGCCACCCTAGTCATAGACTGTTCTCTCTGCTACCGCACGGCAAGCGGTACCGGAGCGCCAAGTCTAGGTCTAACAGGCATCTTAACACCTTCTACCCACAAGCCATAAGACTCCTGAACATCTAATCATGGCTTCCCGGACTATTTGCATTGTCCCCCCCCGCCCCACCCCACCCCACCCCACCCCCTCTTTTACGCTTCTGCTACTCTGTTTATTATCTATGCATAGTCACTTTAACTCTACCCACATGTACAGTTGAAGTCGAAAGTTTACATACACCTTAGCCAAATACATTTAAACTCAGTTTTTCACAATTCCTGACATTTAATCCTAGTAAAAATTCCCTGTCTTAGGTCAGTTAGGATCACCACTTTATTTTAAGAATGTGAAATGTCAGAATAATAGTAGAGAGAATGATTTATTTCAGCTTTTATTTCTTTCATCACATTCCCAGTGGGTCAGAAGTTTTTCGTACACTCAATTAGTATTTGGTAGCGTTGCCTTTAAATTGTTTAACTTGGGTCAAACGTTTTGGGTAGCCTTCCACAAGCTTCCCACAATAAGTTGGGTGAATTTTGGCCCATTCCTCCTGACAGAGCTGGTGTAACTGAGTCAGGTTTGTAGGCCTCTTTGCTCACACATGCTTTTTCAGTTCTGCCCACACATTTTCTATAGGGTTGAGGTCAGGGCTTTGTGATGGCCACTCCAATACCTTGACTTTGTTGTCCTTAAGCCATTTTGCCACAACTTTGGAAGTCCCCTGTAGCTCAGTTGGTAGAGCATGGCGCTTACAACGCCAGGGTTGTGGGTTTGTTTCCCACGGGGGGCCAGTATGAAAATGTATGCACTCACTAACTGTAAGTCGCTCTGGATAAGAGCGTCTGCTAAATGACTAAAATGTAAATGTAAATGCTTGGGGTCATTGTACATTTGGAAGACCCATTTGCGACCAAGCTTTAACTTCCTGACTGATGTCTTGAGATGTTGCTTCAATATATCCACATAATTTTCCTTCCTCATTATGCCATCTATTTTGTGAAGTGCACCAGTCCCTCCTGCAGCAAAGCACCCACACAGCATGATGCTGCTACCCCCGTGCTTCACAGTTGGGATGGTGTTCTTCGGCTTGCAAGCATTCCCCCCTTTTCCTCCAAACATAACGATGGTCATTATGGCCAAACAGTTATATTTTTGTTTCATCAGACAAGAGGACATTTCTCCATAAAGTATGATCTTTGTCCCCATGTGCAGTTGCAAACCGTAGTCTGGCTTTTTTTATGGTGGTTTTGGAGCAGTGGTCTCTTCCTTGCTGAGCGGCCTTTCAGGTTATGTCGAGATAGGAATCGTTTTACCGTGGATATAGATACTTTTGTACCTGTTTCCTCCAGCATCTTCACAAGGTCCTTTGCTGCTGTTCTGGGATTGATTTGCACTTTTCTCACCAAAGTACGTTAATCTCTAGGCGACAGAACGCATCTCCTTCCTGAGCGGTATGACGGCTGCGTGGTCCCATAGTGTTTATACTTGCATACTATTGTTTGTACAGATGAACGTGGTACCTTCAGGCATTTGGAAATTGCTCCCAAGGATGAACCAGACTTGTGGAGGTCTACAATTGTTTTTCTGAGGTCTTGGCTGATTTCTTTTGATTTTCCCATGATGTCAAGCAAAGAGGCACTGTGTTTGAAGGTAGGCCTTGAAATACATCCACAGGTACACCTCCAATTTACTCAAATGATGTCAATTAGCCTATCAGAAGCTTCTAAAGCCATGACATAATTTTCTGGAATTTTCCAAGCTGTTTAAAGGCACAGTCAACTTAATGTATGTAAACTTCTGACCCACTGGAATTTTGATACAGTGAATTATAAGTAAAATAATCTGTCTGTAAACAATTGTTAGAAAAATTACTTGTGTCATGCACAAAGTAGATGTCCTAACCGACTTGCCAAAACGATAGTTTGTTAACAAGAAATTTGTGGAGTGGTTGAAAAACAAGTTTTAATGACTCCAACCTAAGTGTATGTAAACTTCCGACTTCAACTGTACATATTGCCTCGACTAACCGGTGCCCCCGCACATTGACTCTGTACCGGTACCACCTGTATACAGCCTCCCTACTGTTATTTTATTTTACTGCTGCTCTTTAATTATTTATTTTTTATTTTTTACTTAACACTTTTTTTCTAAAAACTGCATTGTTGGTCAAGGGCTTGTAAGTAAGCATTTCACTGTAAGGTCTACACCTGTTGTATTCGGCATATGTGGCAAATCAAATTTGATTTGATCTCCAATGCCACCTATGTCCTCCACCAGGTTTGCGTTCCAGTACAATCCGTCCCTGCAGCCCAGAGCCCTGGTGGTGTTTGGCTGCATCAGTAAGAGGGTGACCCACGGCCAGATCAAACAGATCATCAGGATCCTCAGCAAGGCCAGCCCCCTGCTCAGCAAAGACCGGGTGGGTCGACATGCACACACACACGGCTGTTGGAGTGCTGAGTTTTAATGAGCAATCTCTTGACACACACACACGTTGAGGGGTGGTGTTGAGTGTGTTTTACCTTTCCTTAGCTCAGTCTGCCAATGTTTGTCTGGCTCAGTCTGTACAGGCTAGGCTACCTGTGGGCTCTATCTGCATTATGCAGAGAGCTGGCTCAGTCTGTACAGGCTAGGCTACCTGTGGGCTCTATCTGCATTATGCAGAGAGCTGGCTCAGTCTGTACAGGCTAGGCTACCTGTGGGCTCTATCTGCATTATGCAGAGAGCTGGCTCAGTCTGTACAGGCTAGGCTACCTGTGGGCTCTATCTGCATTATGCAGAGAGCTGGCTCAGTCTGTACAGGCTAGGCTACCTGTGGGCTCTATCTGCATTATGCAGAGAGCTGGCTCAGTCTGTACAGGCTAGGCTACCTGTGGGCTCTATCTGCATTATGCAGAGAGCTGGCTCAGTCTGTACAGGCTAGGCTACCTGTGGGCTCTATCTGCATTATGCAGAGAGCTGGCTCAGTCTGTACAGGCTAGGCTACCTGTGGGCTCTATCTGCATTATGCAGAGAGCTGGCTCAGTCTGTACAGGCTAGGCTACCTGTGGGCTCTATCTGCATTATGCAGAGAGCTGGCTCAGTCTGTACAGGCTAGGCTACCTGTGGGCTCTATCTGCATTATGCAGAGAGCTGGCTCAGTCTGTACAGGCTAGGCTACCTGTGGGCTCTATCTGCATTATGCAGAGAGCTGGCTCAGTCTGTACAGGCTAGGCTACCTGTGGGCTCTATCTGCATTATGCAGAGAGCTGAGTGTTTGAGTGCACCAACCCACTAATCCATTGGAGTCTAATCCACTTGCTAACATAATGAATACTATGATACACTCTCTCCCTTTTCATCTCTCTCTCGCTCCCTCTCGCTTTCTTTCCTTTCTCTCTCTTCTTTCTTTCTTTCTTTCTTTCTTTCTTTCTTTCTTTCTTTCACTCACTCACTCACTCACTCACTCACTCACTCACTCACTCACTCACTCACTCACTCACTCACTCACTCACTCACTCACTCACTCACTCACTCACTCACTCACTCACTCACTCACTCACTCACTCCAGTGTTCATTCTCTACTAATGCCTCCTCTCCTTCTTCTCTGCCTCCACAGGGGCTGGAGAGCTGCTTAAAGGGACCTGATAACTACAACAGCCAGGTGCTGATTGAGGCCACAGTCATCGCTCTGACTAAGCTGGAGCCCCTCCTCAACAAGGTACACAAACTGCAAACACAGAACACATGCAATGCATCGTCTGATCGTCTGCGCTCCACTGCTTGTCAAATCAGAGTTTATTGGTCGTGTACACAGGTTTGCAGATATTATCGCCCTGTATAGCTCAGTTGGTAGAGCATGGCGTTTGCAACGCCAGGGTTGTGGGTTCGATTCCCACGGGGGGCCAGTATGAAAATGTATGCACACACTTAACTGTAAGTCGCTCTGGATAAGAGCGTCTGCTAAATGACTAAAATGTAAATGTAAATGCTTGTGTTCTACTATTCGAATAAAGAACCCAGCTGTAAGTTGTTGGTTCGTGTTTTTTAATAACAATTTGGAATCGGAGCAGAGCTAGATTTGTTCTTTGTTGTCTTAATGTCCTAGATATAATGTGTGTAACCTCATGGTTATACCCTGTGCTCATCCAGGACTCCCCCATGCACACGGCAGTGTTCTGGGTGGCTGTAGCTGTGCTGCAGCTGGATGAAGTCAACCTGTACTCTGCTGGGACGGCCCTGCTAGAGCAGAACCTACACACTCTGGACAGCCTGCGAGTCTTCAACGACAAGGTAACAGACAGACAGACAGACAGACAGACAGACAGACAGACAGACAGACAGACAGACAGACAGACAGACAGACAGACAGACAGACAGACAGACAGACAGACACACAGGCAGGCAGGCAGGCAGACAGACAGAGACAGACAGACACACACAGACAGACAGACTGACACACGGACACACGGACAGACACTCACTTTCAGTTCAATTACAAAAATGTAACATATTCATCACATATTGACACTATTTATATGTTGAATATGTGTAAAGATGTATCTGCTAAATGACCATATTTATTTGTTTCTACATTTCCCCTACATCTCCTCCCTCTCCCCCCCATCCTCCAATCAAGAGTCCAGAGGAGGTGTTTATGGAGATCAGGCGTCCTCTGGAGTGGCATTGTAAACAGATGGACCACTTTGTGGGCCTCAACTTCAGCTCCAACTTCAACTTCGCACTGGTGGGACACCTGCTCAAAGGTAAGGGAGAGAGCACAGAGCACTTGACTGCATCTCGGCCCTAGCAACTCCCCTTCCTGTGACAGTACTTGAAATGATGTAATTTGTTTGGGTCTGATCTAGCTAGATAAAGAATAGATAGATGAAAGACATTGGCCTGACTTGCCCAGCCACTGATGAAAACATGTCTTCCCCACTCAGTCAGAGACTCAAACAGGCTCTATTGACAATGTGTCCTTGTCCTGCAGTGACAACGAGCTTGGCAGCAGTTGTTGGTGTTTTCACTTGTCTCTGTAGTCTGTACTTGTCACTAGCTGCATTTAATGTTGTGTACTCTGTAGGCCTTGATGTGTTTTAATACTAACTGTGTTGAATTAATGTCGCCATGCTGAAATGTACCAAGCTATCAGTGGAGTGGTGTATGGCTATGACTAACGTGTGACTCTGTTTCCCTTCTTGTGTGTGTGTGTATGTGAAGGCTACAGACACCCGTCCCCCACCACGGTGGCTCGGACGGTGCGTATCCTCCACACGCTGCTGGCCCTGGTGGGAAAACACCTCAACTGTGATAAGTTTGAGGTCAACACCCAAAGCGTGGCCTACCTGGCAGGTCAGTTCCAGTCACAGTCCTACACAATGACTCCACTCACCCACATTTGTGTTGACTAACCAGACCTCCATTTGTGTCAACTCACTGGATCTGCAATGTGCTATTTGGATAGCAAGCAGTGTGTTGCTTTAGAAACATGATTTGTAAAACAGATAAGATGGTCTGTCATGTAGTGCCCCCCATTGTTGGAATAACCTGCAAAATTCCTTGCATCTTGATTCCCTGGTGCCACTAGGTCAGTTTAGGACTGTGGTGTTAAATTAATTAATTAAGGATTGCAGTTGTTTACATTGATATAATATATTTGTTGAAATTGTAGTATTGTAATTGGACCTTGTAATTATTTTTTTACATCTTCTTTTTTTATTTGAAATTTTAATTTACCCTGAATAAATATAAGTAATTTTTTTTAAATCATGTAAAATAAGGAATTGTCGCCTCTATTCATGAATGTTTCTGCAATGATTGGAACGTGTCCCATCACTGGTTTTCACCCTGCTCTGGTGTGTGTCTGTGTGCAGCCCTGCTCACCGTGTCAGAGGAGGTGCGTAGTCGCTGCAGTCTAAAACACAGGAAGTCTCTGTTGCTGTCTGAGATGGCCATGGAGAACGTTCCCATGGATACCTACTCTCTGCACCACACTGACCCCAGCTGCAGGTGAGGCGCACTCTACATAAGATACTTTGAACCTGAATAGGTTTTATCTTTAGCTAAGGACAAAGCACATTTTCCTTTATCCAAAGTCATTTTCTGTAATACCTGTTGTTGGTAAATATCTTTAGCATCAAGCTTGAAGAGTTATTTCCTTACCTGTAGCCACCATCTCCTCCCCTCAGGACACTGAGAGAGTGCCAGCTGTGGGTGTCCCCCAAGGTGTCAGAGCGCTATCTGAATGCCTACTACCCCACGGTGGGGCAGATCAGCCCCCGTACACGCAAGTCCATGAGCCTGGACATGGGCCAGGCCTCCCATGCCAACACCAAGAAGCTGCTGGGTAACTATAACATTGCTGCTAAACTACACTGCTAATTTTGTCTAAGAGTTCCCCTTAGCATTGTTTTTATACCGCTGCGCCAGAGGTGTAACATGCAAGCCATTTATTGGGTGGATACTGCTCATGCTGACTATGATCTGGCAGCATTGACTACAGTGTCAATTACGTTTCAAGAAATACACAGCGGATGTAAGAGTGCTGTAAGATGGAAATCCCATGTCACCACTCACCACCTTATCCCATAGACCCTCTTCAATCATTAGCTCTACACTGTCCATCTGTGGTGTATTTCTCCAGGCACCAGGAATAGTTTTGATCACCTGATATCTGACTCTAAAGCACCAAAGAGACCAGAGACTGAGTCTGGCGTCACCACCCCGCCTAAGGTGAGGTGTGTGGCCGAGAACGAATACGAGATAGACAGCCAAAGAATGGGCCACTCCCACCTCCGCAAGGTGTCTGTGACAGAGTCCAACGTTCTACTGGACGAGGAGGTGCTGACCGACCCCAAAGTCCAGGCCCTGCTGCTCACTGTGCTGGTGAGAGGAAGACCACACACACAAATTCACACCTGGCAAAAAAGAAAAAATTATATTGCGGGTAATAAAATAAGCAAAACATATGTAACACAATCACTAGACATACATGTAACACTAGTTACTGCTAGGGTCCAAGTAGTCATCATGAATGCACATCGAGAGGCAGCAACATAGCATACAGCTTTCTACTGTATATAACTGGTTCAGTCTGTAAACGTATGCTCTCTGTTTCTGTGTCCAAGGCCACCCAGGTCAAGTACACCACAGACGACTTTGACCAGAGGATCCTATACGAGTATCTAGCTGAAGCTAGCGTCGTCTTCCCAAAGGTCTTTCCGGTCGTGTAAGTAAACATGCCTGAAAATCCCTCAGGCAAAACCAAATACCTAGCCTAAGCCCTACTTTTTCCATAAGCAAACCTGGGGAAAGACCAATGTCTTTTGGGGTGGGGGGAAGTCTAATCATTTTTTTGGAGGAGGGAAGTCCAATGATCTACTGAGAAGGGGCCTGTCCTGCCCCAAATGCATTGTGGGAGTTGAAGTGTGGTTTACCTAGCTAGACATGTGGTTTGGGTTCAGTCTCTTTCAGGGGTGAATAGTGGAGTCCTGTGAGTCAGAATGTGTTTAGCCCACACATGCATACATTCTATGTTTGTAGTTTCAGTTGAAGTAGCTCTTTCTATACAAGCAAAAATGTCACAGGTTCAAAATATAGTTTATTTTGAGAACTGTCTTGTATGAGGCCTAGTTATTCACCAGTGTGTTCGAGTCCTGTCATGATATGTGTTGACAAGGCCACTGGGAAAGGGTGATGCAGAGTGTGGTGTCTGTAATGATTGTATGGCCTACCTACCTAGCCGATGTTGATCTTTATGTGTTTCCTCCTCTCCTCAGCCACAACCTGCTGGACTCTAAGATCAACACGCTGCTGTTCATGTGTCAGGATACCAACCTGCTGAACCCAGTGCATGGCATCATTCAGAGTGTGGTCTACCACGAAGAGTCTCCTCCACAATACCAACCCTCCTGTCTACAGAGTACATACATTCATCTACAGGCCTGCTCTACCCATCTTTCTCCTCTCTCTCTCTCAGTCCCTATCTCCCCCTCGACCTCATCTCCCATCCTTCATCTCTCTCTGCCCCTCCCTTTCTCTCTGTCCTCTCTCTCTCGCTCTCTCTCACTCTCTCACTCTCTGTCTATCTCTGTCCCTATCTCCTCCTCTCTCTCTCGCCTCTCATCCTTCATCTCTCCTGCCTCTCTCCCTTTCTGTCTCTCACTCTCTCTGTCCCCATCTTCTCTACCTCTCTCAACTCTCATTCTTCAGCTTCCTCTGCCCCTCCCTTTCTCTCTCTCCTCTGTCTCTTTCTGTCTGTCCCAGTCCCTATCTCCTCCTCTACCTCTCATCTCCCATCCTTCATCACTCTCTGCCCCCCTCCCTTTCTCTCCAGCCCTCTCCCCTGACTGTTATGGAGTGTTTTCTTCTTTAGCAGTATAACTTTGCCAATGATACCTTCCTCCCACCATTACTTTCTCTCTCTCTCTCTCTCTCTCTCTCTCTCTCTCTCTCTCTCTCACACACACACACACAGGCTTCGGCTTCAACGGACTTTGGAGGTTTGCCGGACCCTTCTCAAAGGTATGATTCATTGCCCTCATATTTCCCTTTCGTTCTCCCTAAGGCAGTGCGGCCGTGCTGGAAGAATTCAGCCTCAGTAAGCAATTACAGCCTTGCCAGGGAGCCGGCCGATTGCCCCAAGATTTATTGGACATCCTCCTCTCTCTCTCTCTCGCTCTCCCCCCACTTCCCCAGTCTCCGCTCTGGCCACCTCAGTTTCCCTTTATGATGTTTCTGAGTAAATACCCCAAGCAGGGACAAGGAGATGCTTCTAGCTCTGATGGTTCTGTAGTGTTAGCAACACCAGAGTTGCAGGTCTGGTTTCAGAATGGGGCCACATACAGTGGGGAGAACAAGTATTTGATACACTGCCGATTTTGCAGGTTTTCCTACTTACAAAGTATGTAGAGGTCTGTAATTTTTATCATAGGTACACTTCAACTGTGAGAGACGGAATCTAAAACAAAAATCCAGAAAATCACATTGTATGATTTTTAAGTAATTAATTTGCATTTTATTGCATGACATAAGTATTTGATACATCAGAAAAGCAGAACTTAATATTTGGTACAGAAATCTTTGTTTGCAATTACAGAGATCATACGTTTCCTGTAGGTGACCAGGTTTGCACACACTGCAGCAGGGATTTTGGCCCACTCCTCCATACAGACCTTCTCCAGATCCTTCAGGTTTTGGGGCTGTCGCTGGGCAATACTGACTTTCAGCTCCCTCCAAAGATGTTCTATTGGGTTCAGGTCTGGAGACTGGCTAGGCCACTCCAGGACCTTGAGATGCTTCTCACGGAGCCACTCCTTAGTTGCCCTGGCTGTGTGTTTCGGGTCGTTGTCATGCTGGAAGACCCAGCCACGACCCATCTTCAATGCTCTTACTGAGGGAAGGAGGTTGTTGGCCAAGATCTCGCGATACATGGCCCCATCCATCCTCCCCTTAATACGGTGCAGTCATCCTGTCCCCTTTGCAGAAAAGCATCCCCAAAGAATGATGTTTCCACCTCCATGCTTCACGGTTGGGATGGTGTTCTTGGGGTTGTACTCATCCTTCTTCTTCCTCCAAACACGGCGAGTGGAGTTTAGACCAAAAAGCTCTATTTTTGTCTCATCAGACCACATGACCTTCTCCCATTCCTCCTCTGGATCATCCAGATGGTCATTGGCAAACTTCAGACGGGCCTGGACATGCGCTGGCTTGAGCAGGGGGACCTTGCGTGCGCTGCAGGATTTTAATCCATGACGGCGTAGTGTGTTACTAATGGTTTTCTTTGAGACTGTGGTCCCAGCTCTCTTCAGGTCATTGACCAGGTCCTGCCGTGTAGTTATGGGCTGATCCCTCACCTTCCTCATGATCATTGATGCCCCACGAGGTGAGATCTTGCATGGAGCCCCAGACCGAGGGTGATTGACCGTCATCTTGAACTTCTTCCATTTTCTAATAATTGCGCCAACAGTTGTTGCCTTCTCACCAAGCTGCTTGCCTATTGTCCTGTAGCCTATCCCAGCCTTGTGCAGGTCTACAATTTTATCCCTGATGTCCTTACACAGCTCTCTGGTCTTGGCTATTGTGGAGAGGTTGGAGTCTGTTTGATTGAGTGTGTGGACAGGTGTATTTTATAGGTAACGAGTTCAAACAGGTGCAGTTAATACAGGTAATGAGTGGAGAACAGGAGGGCTTCAGCACGTCGGGAGCGGTTGTCGGGAGAGGTTGTGTTTTCTCTAGCAGGAGGTAAGCTTGGCTTCTTATATGGTGTTGAGTAAAGCTTAAACCATGTATTTAGATTGTAGGTAGGTATTGTAGTTAGGTATTATAGGTAGTTTACTCAGGTAGTTATTGTAGGTTATTGTAGGTAATTATTGTAGGTAAGTATTGTATTCGGCGGACCCCGGCGAAGCACGAGGCTAGCCTACCCACTACTTGGACCAACAAAGCTAGCTAGCTAGCTAGCGGGTAGCTACTGGTAACTTTTAGCAACTGTGGTTAGTTGTTTCCAATGTTATTTCACGCTTAAGAGTACCTGTGATTGAGCCAGCTAGCTGCCACCATTCAGCTGTTTTTCTAACCTCATTATCCGAGGCATTAGCGTTAGGTGGTTGGTAGCTGCTGTACTTAATTACAGCTACTGATTGCAGTCTGCCAGTTTGGCTTTATACATAGCTTGGGCTTTGTCGAGTAAGGCTTAAACTATGTATTTAGATTGTAGTTAGGTATTATAGGTAGGCATCGTGGGCTGTATATTATTAAGTAGTATAGGTAGGCATCGTGGGCTGTTGTGGGTAGTTGTTGTGTAGTTATTGTAGGTTACTTTTGTAGTCGGCGGTGCCGGGTGTAGCACGAAGCTAGCTAGCTAACTCACCTCCTGGATTAGCTGGCGAGTAGCTATTAGCAACGGTAGCAACTAAAAACAATATCCTTTTAGCCAGCTACATTCGTTCGCAGCGACGCCGTTTTTTTCAAACAAAGTCAACACAGCAGCCATTGCTAGCTAGCCAACACTACCAGCTGGCTGTACTGTAGTAGCTAAATACAATATATTTGTGCTAGCTAGCCAACGTTTAATCATTGCTGCGTTATGAAAGAACTAGACACGGACACGAATTATCTGTTTAGTGTGTTCACACACTATTGGTAGTTTGTTGTAACCAAGTATTGGTGCTAAACTGTGTGTTATTGGATGCTAGCATGCTAGTTAGCTATGGCGTCATAGTTAGCTAGCTGAATAAAGTAAGTTGAGTCTATTCATTGAAACATTGAACCGCTGTAGTTTACAACAATTCTAATTTCTAAAGTGGAAGTTGGGAGTGTTTTATTCGGGTGGTTCAGTGAAACAATTATAGTTTCTGAGGTGGAAGTTGGGAGAGTTATATTTTTTTGGTGAGGGAGGCCTGCTCTCTCCTTTCCCAGATGTTTAGTTCATTTCATTCCGATCTCCTCTGCATTATTGTAGCCATCTGCTGCAGCCTGTCAACTATGCCTCTGCCTATCCCTGTTCTCTCCTCTCCGCACAGGCTACACAAACGCCTCACACCGCGTGGCTGCTGCCTCTCTAACCTGGTGGTCCCTGCACGCACCACACACCTGGAGTTCCAGGTCTCAGGCAGCCTCTGGAACTGCCGTTCTGCCGCCAACAAGGCTGACTTCATCCCAGCCTATGCTACCCTCCAGTCCCTCGACTTCCTGGCGCTGACGGAAACATGGATTACCACTGAAAACACTGCTACTCCTACTGCTCTCTCCTCGTCTGACCATGTGTTCTCGCATACCCCGAGAGCATCTGGTCAGAGGGGTGGTGGCACAGGAATCCTCATCTCTCCCAAGTGGTCATTCTCAATTTTCCCCTAACCCATCTGTCTATCTCCTCATTTGAATTCCACGCTGTCACAGTCACTAGCCCATTTAAGCTTAATATCCTTGTCATCTATCGCCCTCCAGGTTCCCTTGGAGAGTTCATCAATGAGCTTGACGCCTTGATATGTTCCTTTCCTGAGGATGGCTCACCCTTCACAGTTTTGGGGGATTTCAACCTCCCTACGTCTACATTTGACTCATTTCTCTCTGCCTCCTTCTTTCCACTCCTCTCCTCTTTTGACCTCACCCTCTCACCGTCCCCCCCTACTCACAAGGCAGGCAATACGCTTGACTTCATCTTTACTAGATGTTGCTCTTCTACTAATCTCACTGCAACTCTCCGACCACTACTTTGTATCCTTTTCTCTCTCGCTCTCCTCCAACACTACTCACTCTGCCCCTACACAGATGGTAACGCGCCGCCGCAACCTTCGCTCTCTCTCTCCCACTACTCTCTCCTCTTCCATCCTATCATCTCTTCCCTCTGCTCAATCCTTCTCCCTCCAATCTCCTGACTCTGCCTCCTCAACCCTCCTCTCCTCCCTTTCTGCATCCTTTGACTCCCTGTGTCCCCTATCCTCCCGGCCGGCTCGGTCCTCCCCTCCAGCTCCGTGGCTTGATGACTCATTGCGAGCTCACAGAACAGAGCTCCGGGCAGCGGAGCGGAAATGGAAGAAAACTAAACTCCCTGCCGACCTGGCATCTTTTCACTCCCTCCTCTCTACATTTTCTTCATCTGTTTCTGCTGCTAAGGCCACTTTCTACCACTCTAAATTCCAAGCATCTGCCTCTAACCCTAGGAAGCTCTTTGCCACATTCTCCTCACTGCTGAATCCCCTCCCCCCCCCCCCCCCCCCTCCCTCTCTGTGGATGACTTTGTCAACCACTTTGAAAAGAAGGTTGACGACATCCGATCCTCGTTTGTTAAGTCTAATGACACTGCTGGTCCTGCTCACACTGCCCTACCTATGCTTTGACTTCTTTCTCCCCTCTCTCTCCAGATAAAATCTTGCGACTAGTGACTGCAGGCCGCCCAACAACCTGCCCGCTTGACCCCATCCCCTCCTCTCTTCTCCAGACCATCTCCGGTGACCTTCTCCCCTACCTCACCTCGCTGATCAACTCATCCTTGACTGCTGGCCATGTCCCTTCCGTCTTCAAGAGAGCGAGAGTTGCACCCCTTCTCAAAAAACCAACACTCGATCCCACTGATGTCAACAACTACAGACCAGTATCCCTTCTTTCTTTTCTTTCCAAAACTATTGAGCGTGCCGTCTTTAGCCAACTCTCTTGCTATCTCTCTCAGAATGACCTTCTTGATCCAAACCAGTCAGGTTTCAGGACTGGTCATTCAACTGAGACTGCTCTTCTCTGTGTCACGGAGGCTCTCCGCACTGCTAAAGCTAACTCTCTCTCCTCTGCTCTTGTCCTTCTAGACCTGTCTGCTGCCTTTGATACTGTGAACCATCAGCTCCTCCTCTCCACCCTCTCCGAGCTGGGCATCTCCGGCGCGGCTCACTCCTGGATTGCGTCCTACCTGACCGGTCGCTCCTACCAAGTGGCGTGGCGAGAAGCTGTCTCCGCACCACGTGCTCTCACCACTGGTGTCCCCCAGGGCTCAGTTCTAGGCCCTCTCCTTTTCTCCCTATACACCAAGTCACTTGGCTCTGTCATATCCTCACATGGCCTCTCCTATCATTGCTACGCTGACGATACACAACTAATCTTCTCCTTTCCCCCTTCTAATAACCAGGTGGCGAATCGCATCTCTGCATGTCTGGCCGACATATCAGTATGGATGACGGATCACCACCTCAAGCTGAACCCTGGCAAGACGGAGCTGCTCTTCCTCCCGGGGAAGGACTGCCCGTTCCATGATCTCGCCATCACGGTTGACAACTCCGTTGTGTCCTCCTCCCAGAGTGCGAAGAGCCTTGGCGTGACCCTGGACAACACCCTGTCGTTCTCCGCTAACATCAAGGCGGTGACCCGATCCTGCAGGTTCATGCTCTACAACATTCGGAGAGTACGACCCTGCCTTACACAGGAAGCGGCACAGGTCCTAATCCAGGCACTTGTCATCTCCCGTCTGGATTACTGCAACTCGCTGTTGGCTGGGCTCCCTGCCTGTGCCATTAAACCCCTACAACTCATCCAGAATGCCGCAGCCCGTCTGGTGTTCAACCTTCCCAAGTTCTCTCACGTCACCCCCCTCCTCCGCACACCACTGGCTTCCAGTTGAAGCTCGCATCCGTTACAAGACCATGGTGCTTGCCTATGGAGCAGTGAGGGGAACGGCACCTCCGTACCTTCAGGCTCTGATCAGTCCCTACACCCAAACGAGGGCATTGCGTTCATCCACCTCTGGCCTGCTGGCTCCCCTTCCTCTGCGGAAGCATAGTTCCCGCTCAGCCCAGTCAAAACTGTTCGCTGCTCTGGCACCCCAATGGTGGAACAAGCTCCCTCACGACGCCAGGACAGCGGAGTCTCTCACCACCTTCCGGAGACATTTGAAACCCCACCTCTTTAAGGAATACCTGGGATAGGATGAAGTAATCCTTCTACCCCCCCCCCCCCCCCCCCCAAAAAATAAAAATAAAAAAAATATTGTAAAGTGGTTAACCCACTGGCTATAGGGTGAATGCACCAATTTGTAAGTCGCTCTGGATAAGAGCGTCTGCTAAATGACTTAAATGTAAATGTTAAAGAAAAACTAACAGGTCTGTGAGAGCCGGAATTCTTACTGGTTGGTAGGTGATCAAATACTTATGTCATGCAATAAAATGCAAATGAATTACTTAAAAATCATACTGTGTGATTTTCTGGATTTTTGTTTTAGATTCCGTCTCTCACAGTTGAAGTGTACCTATGATAAAAAATTACAGACCTCTACATGCTTTGTAAGTAGGAAAACCTGCAAAATCGGCAGTGTATCAAATACTTGTTCTCCCCACTGTAAGTGCTGATACGATGTATTGCGATTCTCACTATTTTATATGTATTGCGATTCGATACTGTGATTTTATTGTGATTCGATGTTCCAAACATATTGCTCACCATATGTCTGCTGCAGAAATATCCCTATATGTAACTGTATTGATTTCCCCCTCCCCCCCATCACTACAGAATACTGTATGTGGCCCTTTGAAGCTTGTAGGGGCTCTTAGACTCTCTCTGTTTTCACTGTGTACCCATTATCCCCTGCTCCACTTTTCTCCAACAAACAAAAGGTGCCATTTGCCATCTGCTTGTTTACCCATAGTCAATCAGGAAACAATGTATTCAAGCCTGGCCAAAGGCTGAGGATCAATGTCTCCTGTGATTTAGCTCAGGGAGACTTTAGACTGTGATATCTGTTGGCCCGTGTTCCCCCCGTGTTCCCCTCACACTCTCTCTTTTTTTTCTCTCTTTCTCCTCTCTATTCCACCCCCTACCTGACTTTCTCTATCTCCTCTCTCTCTACCTCTATTCCCCACTCCTCCTCCTCTCTCCATCCCATGTCAAACCATCAGAAAACTCAGATCCCAGACTATGCTGAGCTGATTGTGAAGTTCCTGGAGGCCTTGATTGACCGCTACCTGCCTGGTACAGAGGAGGAGAGGAGAGAGGAGCAGCTCCATACCCCCACCTCGCCCTACCCCCCTGTCACCCAGAGCCAGCTCAGCATCACCGCTAACCTCAACCTCTCCAACTCCATGAACTCCCTGGCCACCTCGCAGCACTCCCCAGGTTAGCAGAGTATACACATGTGGACACAATACAATACAGTCCTTATTGATCCACCCTGGGAGCAGCACAGGGTCAACTGCAGACCAGCGCCCCTGGAACACACACACACCACTTATACATACAGGCAGACACACAAATACACCACTAACATCATACTTTTGAAGGCTGAGTCCTACCAATGATAGGTGTTCTGTAGAGTATCTAGAGGCAAGCAAAGTGTGTGTGGGTGCTATTGCTGTGGGTTATTTCTAGGTCTCCCGCTAGCTTTCTCTGCATCCGAAACTGTCACTGATTATGATATCTCTTCTCACAATATGAGGACGCTGCTGCTGTGCACTAAAGATATCACGTTTCAAGATGTCAGAAAAGCACTGCGAGATTTTAACTATTGCCAAAAACAACAAAATGACTTGCACAAATGCTGAAATGTAGTGTGTTTGAAATATGCAGGGGGAGGAAAGGCAGGGGTACCTAGTTAGCACCATCAAACATCTCAGACATTTTGTTTCTATGTTGCATATGTCTACTGTCCGTCGTGCTTTCTTTCTTGCTCTCAGCAATGAACTCTAATCCCCTCGCTCTCTTTCTGGGTCTGGTCTGTGTGTAACATCCCCATCATGCTCTACTCGCTGTGGTGTGGTGGTGTAGTCTATAGACGGTCCCCAACTCTATTCCATCCCGAGCCGTCGGACGAGACGACGCCACCGAAAACATCTGGTACAAATCACAACCATAGAGCCTCCCTGGGCCACTAACGCTAGCCCCAGCCGAGCCTATAGTTTGCAAACTGTGGTAACTCTCATCACGCGTCCATTTCTGTCTGCTGTTCTCACTATGCTAGCTGCTAGCTTTTAGAATCACCTAGCTAATACCAGTGTTTTTGTTATTACTTCTAGAATAAATAGATTGTATTATTAGTGCTATGTATCAGTACTATATTGCTGAAGTAGATGTAATATATTGTTAGCCTTTCCACAAAAAAAGTATATTCTTAGTAGTTATTCATGCCATTAAAACACCACCCCTAGAAAATAAAATAAATAAATACAATAAAAATAGAAACATCACCAGGTATTGTCTTTGCATCACAGTTTCTGGTTACTTTTCAACTGTCTGTATCTCAAAACCATTTCATCTGAAAACCACCTCATTGAAATCTCTTAATTCCATAATGTCAATGGTAAAGATCCATCTTGCTGTCTGTTGTTCATTTTTTCATTCAGTGAATTTGACTCTCATTCTCTCCCTGTTTCTGTTCTGTTACCCTTGTTTTAATGTGTTTCTCATCTTTGTCCACACAGTTGCTGTGGTCATTCATTCTTGTTTCTCTCCCTCTGTCTCCATCTTTCGCTCTCTCTATGAAGCCTCTCTGCCTTGCTCCAAGTCAGCCGTTTTTGCGCCACACCTCCTCCTCCCAGGTACTCTTCCTCTTTGACCTTGTGACCCCAGAGGTCAAGCAAGGTCAAGCAAACTCATCCCCTTCAGTAAAAAACACCAAAAGAACTCATCCAATGTGAAAAGGTAAAAGTGAGAAACCCACAAACTGTACCCAGTGCCAGAATAGCATCTTAAAATCGGCCACCCACTGCCAAGCAAAGCGTAATCAGTTGGTAATCTTGTTGTTTGTGCTGGTGTGGTTGTAAGAAAGTAATAAGGGGCTGGGGTAGAATCCCCATTCAACAATAAAAGCCTTGTTAGAGGGGAACTTGTGCTCTCTGTCTGACAATGTAGTGGAAGCTGGAGATGTTGAGTTCATTCAGGGTGAGAATATGCCTTTAGTTTTATACCAAAGCTATGGCACAGCGCCATCGGCTGTTCAACAGTGGTATTGAATCTGAGTGACTGAGAATGGCTCTCTCCCCTCTCTTCTATTCTTCCCTCTCTATTCTCGTCTTCCCTCTGTCCAGGCGTGGATAAAGAGAATGTGCAGCTCTCCCCCAGCGCGGCTCTCTCCACCAGTGGACGGACCCGCCATGGCTCTGCCAGTCAGGTGCAGAAACAACGCAGCGCAGGCAGCTTCAAGAGGCCTAGCATCAAGAAGATAGTATGAGACAAAGAGATAGAAAGAGATGGAGAGAACAATAGCCATCATCAGATGAACGAAATAAGCCATTCTGTAGTCTTTATTTTTTTGCTCTTTGTCTGTTGAATTCTCAGATATCAGTTCCATATATAACGTATTCAGTGTAAGAACTGGACAACATTATGTTTGGTGAGTGCTGCATTATGTGACATAGGAAGATGACTGGGCGAAGCAATGTGGGTGTCCATGTTGGACCATTATGACATCATCGTGCCGGGGGGGGGGGGGGGAATTGGGGATTTTGGAGCTGTATACTGAAGGACAAGCCTCTTGCCCCTGCTCCAACCCCACGGTCTACCTAAAACCAACCCCACTACCGCCTTCACACAGCAAGGCTGCAGCAGCCATTCGCCACTTCCATCTATGCAGGGTAGACCAAATGACCTACCAACAGATGGATAGTCATGTCGTTATCAAAACCTTCAATCCACGGTCTTGAAACCTGGATTTGGATACACATTGTCATTTTGATTCTTCCCAGTTGTGTACATATTTATGTATATTGATGTACAGAAAGGATATAAATAACTAGTCCTAATAATAATAATAGGGTTGTTGTTTTATCCATGGTGTGCCTTCATCAGGGTTTTCCAATGTGTATAATTGTGTCAAATAAAGTGCAGCCTTTTTTTGGAAAAGAACAGGTACTAATTATATAGAGACTATTATGTTCACTCTACGTGAATGCTCTTTAGAGCTGCGTTAACTGTATGTCATGATCGTCAAGTATACAATCACCAATAATACCCTGCTGCCTGAAAGTTTTTAACCTGTACAGATAGACAGTCCTCACTATATATTGAAGTTATTCTTTTTGAAATATTTGCCATGCAAGAATATGAATTTCAAGACACTAGATAGTACTGCACAAACTTGTAAATATTGAAAGACCTTTATTTTTATTGATTTGTATCATGTTTTCTTTATATTGCATTTGGATTCATTTACAGTTCCGACCGTGACTAGGAAAATTTAAGTAATATGCAAAATAAATGCCAAAACCCATCCGTAATAGCAACTGCGTGAATACTTCAATTGACATGACTTTGATCACAGTTTAAGTCTACCACCTGTCTAAGATTATGTGTGACACAGACTACAGAATTGATCATATTGAAGTTCTGGTTTGATAAGATGCCAATACGTTCTCCTGATTTCCTGCTCACACACAGGTGTCTCTTTCTCTGGTTGAATGAAGTCTACCTATGAATTTTCTCCTATGGCCAAATGAAAGGTGGTGAGGGAAATGAGGGCGGCCAATACTTTGTCTGAAGGTCATTGTTCCTCCTGTAAAGTACCAGACTCATTCACCCTCTTCCTCTTGATCCTAACCTTTCCATTTGTGCAGATCAGTAAGGTAGAAGCGATATGGTGGAAGCTCCACCATTACATTGTGTATACCCATCTGCATTCCAGACCCTTCGGATCTGCAGACATGGAAGGGTAGGGGTAGGGAACGGTTGTTACTAAACAGTCATTGGGACAGGACCTCAATCCCAGACCACCTTGCAGCAGATCCAGGGACACTGCACAAAAGACTAGTTTGCACTACAGGAAGGAGGATCCTTTGTATTTGGTTTCCCACTCCACTACATGTTGTGTTTTAAATGTCATTGTGACAAATTAATGTCCCCACATGGCACTCTGCAGCTTCCACAGAATCATCCTCTCACAGGAAAGGGCCCAATCCTTACTTGAGATTCGTGCACGCAAATCTCCCATATATATCAATACAAGGTGCTTTAGATGAAAGTGCCAGTTGGCTTTCTTCTAGGTTGTTTTACCTCTAATACCGGAGTCCCTGTATACCACTCCAGAAAGTCATACCTGAGTCCCTGTATGCCACTTTAAAAAAGATTGGACACAGTTAAATGTATGAGTGTGTACCATTCTAATTGAAGTTATTGATCCATACATTTGGCCAAATTGTTTCCAGACTTTTCTGTGGAATAGCCTTAGTTGTACTCGTGTTGGTATTTTTTTATATCAAATTTCCCCTGCATATATTTAAGAAGGTTGCAAGTGTGATTTACCATCATGGAAACCGTTTGAATTGAATAAAGGAGTGAATGAGGAAAGGAAAGGAAGAGACAGGACTTCAAGTGTTATTGACTATATGTGTAAAGGGAAAACTGAAATATACACTACATGACCAAAAGTATGTGGACACACTCGTTGAAAATCTCATTCCAAAATCATGGGCATTAATCGGGAGATGGTCCTTGTTTTGCTGCTATAACAGTCTCCACTCTTCTGGGAAGGATTTCCACTAGATGTTGGAACATTGCTGCGGGGAATTGCTTCCATTCAGCCACGAGCATTAGTGAGGTCGGGTACGGCTGATGGGCGATTAGGCCTGGCTCGAAGTTGGCGTTTCAATTCATCCCAAAGGCGTTCGATGGGGTTGAGGTCAGGGCTCTGTGCAGGCCAGTCAAGTTCTTCCACACCGATCTCGACAAACCACCGGGCATTGTCATGCTGAAACAGGAAAGGACCTTCCCCAAACTGTTGCCACAAAGTTGGAAGGACAGAATCATCTAGAATGTAATTGTATTCTGTAGGCCTAAGATTTCCCTTCACTGGAACTGAGGGGCCTAGCCCGAACCATGAAAAACAGCCACAGACCATTATTCCTCCTCCACCACCAAACTTTACAGTTGGCACTATGCATTCAGGCAGGTAGCGTTTTGCTGGCATCCGCCAAACCCAGATTTGTCCGTCGGACTGCCAGATGGTGAAGCGTGAATCATCACTCCAGAGAACGCGTTTCCACTGCTCCAGAGTCCAATGGCGGTGAGCTTTACACCACTCCAGCTGACACTTGGCATTGTGCATGGTGATCTTAGGCTTATGTGCGGCTGCTCGGCCATGGAAACCAATTTCATGAAGCTCCCTGAACAGTTCTTGTGCTGAAGTTGCTTCCAGAGGCAGTTTGGAACTTGGTAGTGAGTGTTGCAACCACGCTTCAGCACTCGGCGGCCCCATTCTGTGAGCTTGTGTGGCCTACCACTTCGCGGCTGAGCCGTTGTTGCTCCTAGATGTTTCCACTTCACAATAACAGCACTTACAGTTGACCGGGGGAGCTCTAGCAGGGCAGAAATTTTAAAAACTGACTTGTTGGAAAGGTGTCATCCTATGACAGTACCACGTTGAAAGTCACTGAGCTCTTCAGTAAGGCCATTCTACTGTCAATGTTTGTCTATGGAGATTGTATGGCTGTGTGCTCGATTTTATACACCTGTCAGCAACGGGTGTGGCAGAAATAGCCGAATACACTAATTTGAATGTTTCTCCACATACTTTTGTATATATAGTGTGTAGCAGAACTTAAGAAGGGTACCAAATGCAATTTACACAATTAAATATCAAGGTATATATATATATATATATATATATATATATATATATAATATTGTTTTTGAATCCCTGTGACCACTAAGATTAGACAACTGCCAGGGCAAATAGCTTGGGTGAATTCATCAAAAGTGTAACCGTCAGAAGAACATGTCAGTTTTCCATAGCTGCCTTCAGGATCTAGGATGGCCCCTTGGTGTCCATCGGGATGACAAAGACATATATTGAGAGTAACCATAGTCACTTAAATTAGTGGTTGACATGCACTATTCTGATTCACAGTGAAGGGTTTTGTAGAGTTGAATATCCTCAAATGTGGCATGTTTTATTGATGTTGTGCAACATCTAATGTGTCTCGAGTGTTGGTGCGATTTTTTTTCTTAAGCGGTATGTTCACCTCTAAATATTTTGTGTACAATTTAAAAAATGTATATTTACTACACTGTAAATACGTGATAATATTGTATAATTGTGCTTTTTTTGTAAAGCAGTACGTTTCTTTATAATGTCTATAATATATACATTTAATTATTCCAGTGTTAGTAAGAACAGTTTTGCGCTCGACTTAAAAGCCATGATTTGTTAACACCATCTGAAGTTATGGGTAAGAGAAGTGCTCAAGAAGGAAATATACAATGCAGAGGACAACCTATGCCTATGGGACAATCTCAATTGCATGCTCCTCTCGTCCCCTCTCCTTCTCAAAGCCCATTGGAGTAAAAGGTCAGAGGGGAGGGAATTCTGGCTTTCTCATCCAATGGGTTTTGAGAAGGAGGCGAGGGAAGAGGACGCAAGGAGTATGCAATTGAGATTCTCCCTCCCACAGGTTGGTGGCACCTTAATTGGGGAGGAGAGGCTCTTGGTAATGGCTGTAGCGGAATTCTGGAATGGTATCAACCATGTGTTTGATGCCATTCTATTTTATCCGTTCCAGACATTATTATGAGCCTTCCTCCCCTCAGCAGCATCTGCTGGACTATGTGTCCAATGATACAGTCAAGAGACCATGTACAGCCAGGAAGTCAGCTTCGTATGAAATTACATGATTTAGTTAAAGAACTACTCAGAGACAATAGTGTCCTTAGTTACAATAAAATGTTACCGCATCTGCATGACCCCGCGAGACTACCGCCTCCATTGTCGTCTCCCTTCTGCACCATTATCGCGAGGTTTGATCAGCTGTTAGGTCTGTTTTTAGAGTCTAGTACTTGGATGGTCAACACGTGGGGAGGATACAGAAAGATAGACACAGCGTAGGGGAAGACGTTGGGATTGAGTCGGGCCCGGAATACGTAACATTATATCACGATAATTTAAGTCACCGTGGCGGCGCGGAGGACGCTTAAATACTGTAAGTATTATCCAGAGGTGCTAGTGTAAAATTGACAGCCAGAGACCCACATAAGTATGTAGCCTGGCTAGCCACATCATTGTAACAATCTCAGGTTGTTTCGCCAGTTGGCTATAATGATGCACTACAAAGTGTTTCATTCCAATAAATGGAACAGTCGTTTCATTAAAGTGGTTACAAATGTATCGTCATTCTTGAAATGTGCAGCGGCTACAGCCCTTGTCATTGAGTGCATGTTTCACGCAGACATCGAACTATGTAGTTTATTCGGCGTCCTAAGATGACAATGGACTCAACATATAAATCACAATTTTGTGTCCATGAGTTTGCTTGGACGGATCATGTTAATTGCTAGCAAACAAGGTGGCTATCCACGATGTCCAGCTAGCAAACTAACGTGAAGGTTTCGAGGCCCACGCTGCAGTTAGCCTAGCATTGCCAGGCTAGTCTACATGACGACCACAATATCATAATGCACGATATGCGACGTTTGGTCACGAGTTACTGTCTCGACTCTGCCAGGACTCAATTTAAACGTTATTGCCGCTACATTGTAGCGAAACAATTTGTCGCGTGCATCTCAGCAACATTGTGAATGAAGTGTCAGTCATAGTTCAGACTCAACGAAGATGGCTAACCGTAGCCGAATGGAGGCTTAAATAAATTAGGCACGTAAATGCACCGTTTCGCCAAGATCTCGAATATATAGTGTTTGGTTAAAGTATTGTCATTTTGTGATTTTAAATCGTGGTCCATGGGCCTTTCACGGTTTAATGAGTGTTTGTTACAATAGTGTTGGGCTAACTTGATACATTGTAAATCATCATGCGCTGCGGCCTACCATGCTTTTATTACTCAGTGTAGGTCATAGCTAGCAAGTTACCTAGCCCAAACACTCTGCCCTTATGCAGCTATTGCACAAACACTGGTAGCCTCGATACTTTGCCAGGGAGCCTACATTTAACCGCATAATGTGTCAGTCTCTGCTCTGGAATTACAGTTATTAGCTAAAGCCTATGGTATAGGTTATCAAGTAGCGGTGCACAGGCTATTTCTGAAGCCCCATAGCAACGTCGAGGCAAATGTAGCCTGCTCAATCAACCATAAAATATTCCCTGAAACGTTAATTCAGAGGCACTGTTTTATAGGACACAGTCGGTGTGCAATGAATCTGTTATGTAAATATTCGCCATCACATTAACATGATTATTATAGAGCCTACAATAAAATATTATTGGTCCCGCATTTGTGTGAACTGCTATGGGATTACTTCTCCTCGTAGGATAGTTTACAATTGAGGACGAGAAGGCTCTCGACTGGGGGAGAAGCGTTATTATCGTAGGTGTGTTTTACAAGGTTGCCTCGTATTCCCAATGCAGCATTGCTGTGTAATAAACTGCTCGTGGTCAGCTCATTGTATGGTTTGTAACATGTAAAGCAAATGCCGAGTGACCCTTCCCTTATCTACCTCCAAGGTCGTACAGCAGCGCAGCTTGATTCTTTCGAGTCTCCAGTCAGTAGGCAGGCGGTGGAGTGGAACACGCACACATGGCGGGGGTGCACAGAGAAAGAGACTAACTCATTTTATTAGGCCGCTGGAGTAACTTTGTGTAGTGGGCGTTATTCTAACCTTGTCAAAGGTGAACGTCAGAACAACTCATGACACTAGGGATTTTATTTTTTGAAGCACTCTAGCGACTTTTTCTTTTGAAAAACAATATCCCAAGTATACATACAGTAATATACACACGTAATGGTACCCCAACATATGTTTTGAGCAAAATCGTTTTTTAGTTTTTTACACAAGTGCCAACTTCAAGAGTTGGCCATTCAAGGAGTTGGTCTGATGGGTGCACTCTGATGTCATCCGCATCCCCCTTGCTTGCGGGAACAATAGAGGATCCACCCTGTCTTGTGCCATGTCATGAGGGTACCTGGACTACCTGTTGAGATGTGCTTTTGGTTAAGTAAATCGGGTGATAAATTAGGTAAAAAGGAGCTTGGAGTGCGTCTTTAACAAACAAGGCTAGCAAGGTGTCATGGACCTTCACATAGGGTCTGTCACTTGAAACGCTTGTGAAACTAGTCTGCATAACTAGAGGAATCTATGATGAACCAGCCTTGAGGTCCAGCATATAAAGTGATACTAGTTCCAGCATGTTGCTTAATCAGACATGGTATGATTTTATAGTGTGGTGTGTGTATTGTACTAAAGCTTTACTCCGCAAGATGCCCCTATTTGGCCTCATGCAAAACTGGTTAGACATAGCCCTGATCAGTTTGCTGTTTCATTCACATTAGATATATTCCACCATGTTGGTGGTTAGTATTGGAGAAATAATGTAATGTTTATTTATCAGTCAATTTTAAGTTAAATGGTGCTGATTACATTGCCTTCATCCTGAATAGCCAATCAGTGAATCTCATTATAAATCCAGACATTGTTTTGACAAGGCTGGAACAGGGAAAATGGTGTGGGGCTAGGCTCAAATGCACAACTGCTAGGGCTAGGTTTCCTCTGCTCTGCATTATCAATCTGATGGTTGCGCAAATTATTAACTCTGGTGCTGTGATGATGAACAGTGTTGCAACTTGCAATCTATTCAGTTAAATAGCATTCTTCAGCACAGTATTCTCAAAATGTATCTTAAAATCATATAACGCCACTGTTCTTTAATTTCTATTGCATTAGACCTTCAATCCAATGTCTTCCATCCAACAACATTTGATCAGAAAATCCTATACATATCAATGTGAAACTCCAAAAGCTTTCTGCTTTTCTATCCAGTTTTATTGAGGGTGCTGTGCAGGCCACATATGACGGTGACATGTTTGTTTGTGTCTACCCTGGGGGTGGATGTTGCGGTTAGCTGGTTTATATAGGGACGCTTAAGAAGCCACAACTGGCCAGATGGGGCCATAGTGATGGTGGGCTTCTCTGGGATGGGGAGGGGGTGGTCCTGCCAGTCTTACCCTGTGTGACTAATGCTATCTGATTGACCCCTATCTAATCCCTGCCCTTCAACCATGAAGTCCCAGTGACTCCCTCCACATCACTGCCTTACTATATCCCGCCTGCAGGAATCCCAACATTGGAATTCCGGAAAGCCCCTCATGTCCAAAAATGATGGAGCAAATTGTTGTTTTAGTGTCTGGCTTTGTCGCCTGTCTGCTAGTTTAGATTTTGTATGATGTTTTTAGAATGCATACATTTGTTACAAAGGTGAAAGAGGACTGATGATGGCACTGTGTATTTCAGCCTACACAATAGTTTTAGTTAGCCAAAGAAAGCGTACTACAATAACGTTTGGATATATGGTAATGATATAAGATAAGGCTACACAATAATTTATATAATTTGCTTATGGAGACTATTGAAATGGACAGCAAGGGATGTATAATTTACTAACCAGGACCATGCACCTTGCCATTCACTGTGGAACATGCCACTAAGGCTCTGTTTTGATAGGGAATCTACTGGGTCATGACGAATAGGGAGAACAGGTTTTGAAATGTGGAGTTACTAAGGCTGTGTTGACACAGGCAGCACATAAATGTTGTACCACTAATTGGACTTTTGACTGATCAGATCAGAAAAATATCTGATGTGATTGGTCAAAAGACCAATTAGTGGGAAAATGATCAGAATTGGGCTGCCTGTGGCATTGGTGAACTTGTCTAATAAGAAACCTTCGTTTTTGATCTCTGCCCTACTGAAAATGACCCGATCTTGGTTTCTCTGGAGGCATTTGAAGCCTACCAGTTTTTTCCCTGCACATCAACACCTTTACCTGGGTCAGTGTTAGGGCAGCCCACAATTCACCTCACCTAATCCCATGTCATTCATCTCCGAGCCTCTTAGAGGTGCATAAGCTCTGTAAAACAAGATGCTCATTGAGGTTCTCACGCCTTCCGTATTGTCAGGTGAGGTGTGTGGAAGTTTCTAGGAAGTTATTAGTGTGTTGCTTCTGCTGCCCTCTGCTGTGTGCTGTTGTCCCTTGAAAAGGTGAAATACGTAGTGGACGCATACAAATGCCACTGGATGGCCCTCATTTTCTATCAGTTGTCTAAGAAAATGGCTAATTGCAATGGGGCAAGTTTCTGCTCATTGGAAAGTCCAGTCCGCCTCAGTTGTGGGGTATGAAGGAACTGAACTATGGTTAAAACCCCAGTGATTAGAGCCTCCTCACACACAGCCTCTCTGTGAATGTGACCTATCGTGGCCCCTGGCTGTCTACCTGTACAGTGCAGATGGACTGTTCTGCACGTTCCAGGCCATAGAGTTCAAAGTCCAGTTTCACAGTGACCCAGACCTGGCTGCTGTGTATGTGCCTGCTGTGTTTGTGTGTATTCGTGCTTGCTAAGGGACAGTGGAGGCCCAGCTGTCACACACCCTAGTAGGCTGGGAGAAAGAAGGGAGGGAGGCGAGGGAGTCACCCCTGTGATGCGTTCCTTCCTTCTACAGTCTGGGTCTGTTAAGGAAAGGCATGCACAGACTTCCTTTTTTAACATCGAGTGCTTCGACCAATCAGCAGCGGAGGAGCTGGGCATGCCCAGTAGGTACTGGGAGGTTTAACATTAGCCCTGATGGTGGCACAGCTTCTCCTCCTGCTAGAAGACTATATATTTGTGTTGCAGCTTGGTTTAGCTCAGAAGTAGAAACAAATATTACTTATAAGCCACAGGAGTGGGAATTTCTCTGTTTGAACGTTTTTCAACGAGGCAATAGAAAACCGTGGTGTGACCGATGTCTGGTATCAAGCTTTTACAAGCATGTGTATGTTCATTCATGTCAAAACAAGAGCATCTTACGTTCAGGAGCTGTTGTCAAAAGTGCTGTGTCTTCAGTGTCGTATGCCTTGATTAGTCCTGTGTAGCTCAGTTGGTAGAGCATGGCGCTTGCAACGCCAGGGTTGTGGGTTCGATTCCCACGAGGGAACAGTATGAGAAAAAAAATGTTATGCACTCACTAACTGTAAGTCGCTCTGGATAAGAGTGTCTGCTAAATGACTAAAATGTAAATGTGTGCATCCCAAAGCATTGTGCAGCTCATCAAGTGTATGTGGGTGTGGCATGAGATAGAGATGGCTTGTGGTAAATTTGCATGAATGAATTTACTACTTTACTATAAGTCATTTGTTAGTGTAGGCCTTATCAGGTTTAATTCTGTGGTTTCTTTGAAGCTCTGCTCGCACCTGTCAACTGTCATGATGGTTTCTAAAGCATTTATTTCCTTAAAGCCTTTTTGGCAAGTATTTTTGGCTACCATAGGACAGTTTCCTTATGATCATCCCATTTTGTTCTCCCAGTGTCATGCGTATTGTCAGAGCTGTGTGAACAGGGCTGATCCATTTGGAATGTATTTGTCACTCACACACCCTTCTAGTTGCTATGGGTGTGATTACACATGTACACACTACAGCACCATAGAATACCTGCTATAGTCTTTACACTATCATAATACCCAGAGGTATTATGCACCTCGCAGGCCTATTTTGTGGGATAAGTGTCAAACGAGACCCTTAGGCTATTCAAAATGTTAGCAAGTTTGTCTTAACTTAATATCCTATTTGACAATATAGTCCTGAACTCCAAATGAGTGAAACTGAAAGACGCACATATCTCCCTCCAATAAGCTAACCTCTGCCTTTCTCTCTCTCGCTCTCTCGCTCTCCACACATACAGGTGTAGCTGCTAGGGTCCTGAGGAGATGCCACTGAGGTTCCGGTCTATTGTCCCGTACACGCTGCCTGGAGTGCTGGCGCTTATAGGCTGGTGGTGGTACATCTCACGCAAGAAAGAGCGAATCACCAACCACGACACCGAAGAGGGGGCAGCGGCCATGGGCCTGCTGACGTCCCCGGCCCCCAGTGAGGGCAGCAACGGCCTGGTAGAGAAAGGGACAGTGTCCCCCTGCGGTACATCCACTACCCCAACAACCAGCAACAGCTGCAGAGAGAGAACAGCCAGCAGCAGAGTCAGACTACCCAAGGACAAAGAGCAACGGTCAACAGAACAGGAGGTAGTAGCACAGATTCACATCTCAGGCACTAAGGCCCAGGCAGTAGAGGTACAGAGTACATCCTGTTCACCCACAGAGAGGCTAGATGCTTCCCACCACCCAGACAGAGCCAACGCAGTCACAGACACTGGTGTAGAAAGCTGCCAACAGACACCCAGGAGCAGTTCTTCTCCCGCAGCCTCGCCTTTACCAACACAGACCAGGGAGGAGAGCTCAGCTCCCCAGGGAGATCACAGGGCCACTGGGCAGAGCCCGCCAGCCGCAATTGCCTTGATTACAGAGCCGGTGAAATCAACGGTTACCGAGCAGGTCCCTGCTCCAGTGAAGGAGGCCATCGCCACAGCATCAGAAGCACTTGTACTCTCCCAGACGGCCCACGCCACAACTAGTTCCTCCACAGCAGCAGACCTGATGAATGCAGAGAGGCCCGAGCCAGAGGGAGAGGTGGCAGCAGCACATGAGGCAGCAGTGGCCTTCACGCAGAACCTGCAAGTGGAGCTGGTGGCTAAAGATGCCCTCCCGGTCCCCTCCAGTAGTACCAAAGATGAGCTGCCCTCCTCGCCTGTCGTCCCAGCTGAGATGCCGGCCCAGGCCCTGAAAGTAGTCACACATGAGCCCATCTTCCCAGAGACCCCCACATCATCGCAGGGCTCCTACCATGCTGTCATGACCAGTACTCCGGCCTCCCCAGCCCAAGGCCCCCAGCAGGAGAACGGGGCCCCCGGCAGCACTGAGGAGCTGGAATACCTTGCAGCAGGTCTGATCACTGAGGTCATCTGGGCAGCCACCCAGGAGGTCCTCAGTGTTACCTCCTGTCCAGAGACCCGGTTTGGCCAATCCACCGCCGAGCCCAGCTGCAGAAGCACCCCACTGGCCAATGGGAGGCCATGCTCTGAGCAAGAGCCACTCACAAGGAACATGGAGGAAGGGCCTTCCCCAATAAGCCACGCTGAGACAGAGTGGAGGGAGCAGCAGAAAGAAGGGATGCCCAACGGTTGCCCGCCCGCCCCGGCGTGGGAGCCAATGGGGACAGAGAACGTACTGTGTAACCCCTGGGCAGCAGCAGCATCCTTGCAGGAGGGGAGGCAAGAGGCCAGCGGCGTGCCTAGCAACCTGGACAAACTGAAGGGAGACGAGGGGGTGATGGTGGCAGAGGACTCAGCCTGCAGTACGTGCCACTCTGAGGATGGGGTCAGCAGTGAGGACCAGCAGAGCAGGGAGAGCCGGGAGGATCTGATCCAGGTGTCAGGGATGTCTGAGGGGGAGGGTGGACTGGGTGGTCTGCCCCAGGCCCCAGAAGAGGTAGTGACCGAGGCAGAGGTGATGGCAGCCCTACCAGGCCACGTGCTGGGGACTGTTGGCGAAGTGAAGAGGCTCAACGCCATGGGCCTGAGGAACGGTTCTCATGGGATGAGTGAGACTGAGACCGATCAGTCTGGAGGTAGGACTACAGACCACACCCTGTAGTGGAGTCAGGCTCATAGCACACCCCAGCACTGATTTACACATGGCTCCCCTCAGCTGCTCAAATTCCCAAACAGAACACACTTACGCTCGTGGACACTTTTCTGTCGTAGAGTCTCACTTCCCTACGTGGCACTGAGGCCTTTTGTTTTTCATTATTTTAAGTTTTTCCAGACAGATGGGCAAACTGAGGGAAGAACAAGAGAGCCTTCTGTGTCAGCACAGAGAGACATTTGTTAAACATTAGATTACGTCTAACAACATTAAAAAGCTGAGGGAAATGTTGCACAAACTAAGTGTTAATCATTTGGAAAGTCACCGGCTTTGATCTTAGATCTGGTAAAATAACTCTATTCAGAAGTAGGCAAGAGTGTGTGAATTGGGGGAAGGGAATTTAACACACTGCTTTCCAATTCCAACTATTGTGGCAAAAAGTAGCTGTAAGAGTAAATTACTTTAGTGGGATAAAACTAAGGAATGCTTGCAGAATCATATTGGGCTGTTCTGTTGCCACCAGCAAAGAAAAGCATACAGTTGAGCATATCTCCTTATTTGAAAATAATTTAATGTAATATATACATACATACATACATACAGTGGGGAGAACAAGTATTTGATACACTGCCGATTTTGCAGGTTTTCCTACTTACAAAGCATGTAGAGGTCTGTAATTTTTATCATAGGTACACTTCAACTGTGAGAGACGGAATCTAAAACAAAAATCCAGAAAATCACATTGTATGATTTTTAAGTAATTAATTTGCATTTTATTGCATGACATAAGTATTTGATCACCTACCAACCAGTAAGAATTCCGGCTCTCACAGACCTGTTAGTTTTTTTTAAGAAGCCCTCCTGTTCTCCACTCATTACCTGTATTAACTGCACCTGTTTGAACTCGTTACCTGTATAAAAGACACCTGTCCACACACTCAATCAAACAGACTCCAACCTCTCCACAATGGCCAAGACCAGAGAGCTGTGTAAGGACATCAGGGATAAAATTGTAGACCTGCACAAGGCTGGGATGGGCTACAGGACAATAGGCAAGCAGCGTGGTGAGAAGGCAACAACTGTTGGCGCAATTATTAGAAAATTGAAGAAGTTCAAGATGACGGTCAATCACCCTCGGTCTGGGGCTCCATGCAAGATCTCACCTCGTGGGGCATCAATGATCATGAGGAAGGTGAGGGATCAGCCCATAACTACATGGCAGGACCTGGTCAATGACCTGAAGAGAGCTGGGACCACAGTCTCAAAGAAAACCATTAGTAACACACTACGCCGTCATGGATTAAAATCCTGCAGCGCACGCAAGGTCCCCCTGCTCAAGCCAGCGCATGTCCAGGCCCGTCTGAAGTTTGCCAATGACCATCTGGATGATCCAGAGGAGGAATGGGAGAAGGTCATGTGGTCTGATGAGACAAAAATAGAGCTTTTTGGTTTAAATACCACTCGCCGTGTTTGGAGGAAGAAGATGGATGAGTACAACCCCAAGAACACCATCCCAACCGTGAAGCATGGAGGTGGAAACATCATTCTTTGGGGATGCTTTTCTGCAAAGGGGACAGGACGACTGCACCGTATTGAGGGGAGGATGGATGGGGCCATGTATCGCGAGATCTTGGCCAACAACCTCCTTCCCTCAGTAAGAGCATTGAAGATGGGTCGTGGCTGGGTCTTCCAGCATGACAACGACCCGAAACACACAGCCAGGGCAACTAAGGAGTGGCTCCGTAAGAAGCATCTCAAGGTCCTGGAGTGGCCTAGCCAGTCTCCAGACCTGAACCCAATAGAAAATCTTTGGAGGGAGCTGAAAGTCCGTATTGCCCAGCGACAGCCCCGAAACCTGAAGGATCTGGAGAAGGTCTGTATGGAGGAGTGGGCCAAAATCCCTGCTGCAGTGTGTGCAAACCTGGTCAAGATCTACAGGAAACATATGATCTCTGTAATTGCAAACAAAGGTTTCTGTACCAAATATTAAGTTCAGCTTTTCTGATGTATCAAATACTTATGTCATGCAATAAAATGCAAATTAATTACTTAAAAATCATACAATGTGATTTTCTGGATTTTTGTTTTAGATTCCGTCTCTCACAGTTGAAGTGTACCTATGATAAAAATTACAGACCTCTACATGCTTTGTAAGTAGGAAAATCTGCAAAATCGGCAGTGTATCAAATACTTGTTCTTCCCACTGTATATATAAAATACAGAACAGTATGGTGGCTAGTTACCCTTCATAGTGTAGGATGAAGTTAGTGCTTAGATACTCTTCTACTAGATACCACCCTGAGGCTATAGGGACTCTAACTGTGTTTGGGGAGCCGTACCTTTTGTTTAGGGGGCAAGTTGTGATGTCACAAACGGGAAGAATCACACCTAAAGCTGGGTGTTCCTGAAAAGGTTAGAGGTCACATTCACACAGAAGGTGAAGAATCACAACAGTCCAGTGTCATTGTTTTTGGTCTGTCAGAGCAGCACTGTGATCAGATATGCCTGGTAAGAGCCATGGTGGTGTGTGCACGTGTGGGTGGACTTTGGATTAATGTCAGTTAGTGGTCTTATTCCCTGTGTGTGTGTGTGATTGGGTAACAGCTCTTTGACGTATGTGTGTGGAGGGTTGAAGTGGGTGATCTGTTGAATGTCTTAAACTTTTGAGTTGTGTGTGTGTGTGTGTGTGTAAATGTGCACCCGTGTATCAGTTTCTTAATTTTATTTGGTATTTTATTAGGATCCTCTGGACCTTTTATTTATCCAGGTGTGTGTTTATGTGAGAGACACCTGTCTTGTTTTGGTGTGTAATTGTGAGGTGAGTAAAATACCTGTCTGACTCAGAACTGTGTGTCCAGGCTCGGATGTGAACAGTATGGACTCGGTGGACAGCGGCTGCACCATGGGGGCTAGGGACAGTGGCAGCCCTGCCATGGGTATGGGCTCTGAACTCATCGTTTGGGAGATTGAGGTACCAAAGGTGAGCCTGCTCCATCCCAACACACACCACAGGGACTTGACTTATTGACTAGTATTCAGAGGAAATCCCATAGCTCCTTAGAAATGAGTCTCTTATCACATTCATTCTAACCCAATATCTCCTTTTAATGTGTTCTTCCGTCTCTGTTCTCTCCCTCTCTCTCTCAGCATCTGGTGGGTCGGTTAATTGGGAAACAGGGGCGATACGTGAGCTTCCTGAAGCAAAGCTCTGGTGCGAAAATCTACATCTCCACCCTGCCTTACACTCAAGAGTTCCAGATCTGCCACATAGAGGGTGAGTGGGGTAGTCCTCTACCGTCACAAGGAGCATATGAGTCACTTGACTGTAGATAGTATACTGGTAGTATAATTCTAGTGTTTTAATTTGTGTGTGTGTGTGTCCCTACTAGGTTCCCAGCAGCAGGTGGACAAAGCGTTGTCCCTGATTGGGAAGAAGTTTAAGGATTTGGACCTGACCAACCTGTATGCCCCCCCACCTCTGCCACTCACGCTGCCCTCGCTGCCCATGACCTCCTGGGTAATGAAGCCTGGAGGGTCTCTCTCTGTCTCTCTCCATCTCTCAAATCTGTTCAAACATGTTTTATTTGCACGACAGTTAAGGTCCTGCTAATTGATTTCAAGACTTCAAGACCTGCTAATTGATTTCAAGACTGCCCTGATGGCTTCTCCTTTGAAAGTTAACTGAGGATAATAGCGGACGATATTGCCACTCCTATTTGCCATATTTTCAATTTAAGCCTACTAGAATGTGTGTGCCCCCAGGCTTGGAGGGAAGCAAAAGTCATTCCGCTACCTAAGAATAGTAAAGCCCCCTTTACTGGCTCAAATACCCAACCAATTAGCCTGTTACCAACCCTTAGTAAATAATTGGAAAAAATTGTGTTTGACCAGATACAATGCTATTTTACAGAAAACAAATTGACATCAAACTTTCAGCATGCTTCTAGAGAAAGACATTCAACAAGCACAGCACTTACACAAATGACTGATGATTGGCTGAGAGAAATCGATGATAAAAAGATTGTGGGGGCTGTTTTGTTAGACTTCAGTGCGGCTTTTGACATTATCGATCATAGTCTGCTGCTGGAAAAACGTAGGTGTTATGGCTTTACTCCACCTGCTATATTGTGGATACAGATTTACCTGTCTAACAGAACACAGAGGGTGTTCTTTAATGGAAGCCTCTCCAACATAATCCAGGTAGAATCAGGAATTCCCCAGGGCAGCTGTCTAGGCCCATTTACTTTTTTCAATCTTTACTAATGACCTGCCACTTGGCTTTGAGTAAAGCCAGAGTGTCTATGTATGCGGATGACTCAACACTATACATGTCAGCTACTACAGCGACTGAAATGATTGCAACACTTAACAAAGAGCTGCAGTTAGTTTCAGAGTGGGTGGCAAGGAATAAGTTAGTCCTAAATATTTCTAAAACTAAAAGCATTGTATTTGGAACATATCATTCACTAAACTTCAAACCTCAATTAAATCTTGTTATAAATAATGTGGAGATTGAGCAAGTTGAGGTGACTAAACTGCTTGGAGTAACCCTGGATTGTAAACTGTCATGGTCAAAACCAGATTTGATGGGGAGAAGTCTGTCCATAATAAAGCGCTGCTCTGCCTTCTTAACAGCACTATCAACAAGGCAGGGCCTATAGGCTCTAGTTTCATCGCACCTGGACTACTGTTCAGTCGTGTGGTCAGGTGCCACAAAGAGGGACTTAGGAAAATTGCAATTGGCTCAAAACAGGGCAGCACGTAGCAAACATGAATAATATGCATGTCAATCTCTCCTGGCTCAAAGTGGAGGAGAGATTGACTTAATCACTACTTGTATTTGTGAGAGGTATTGACATGTTGAAAGCACCGAGCTGTCTGTTTGAACTACTGGCACACAGCTCGGACACCCATGCATACCCCACAAGACATGCCACCAGATGTCTCTTCACAGTCCCCAAGTCCAGAACAGACTATGGGAGGCACACAGTACTACATAGAGCAGGGGTGTCAAACTCATTTTAGCTCAGGGGCCACATGGAGGAAAATCTATTCCCAAGTGGGCCGGACCGGAAAAATCATGGTATATATATATATATAACTTAAAAACAACAACTTCAGATTATTTTCTTTGTTTTAATACGATCAACATACAACATAAAGCTGGAGCCTGAGGACAGTGTGTCCAAAATAGTACAAGCACAACATCACTATTAATCATAAAACACGTCAAGTTTATTTGAAAATTCTAAAGAAAAAGAACACACAAACACACAATGCCTCAGTGATTAACAGAACTGTTTCACAGATCACAGAACTATATCAGGGTGTCATTTCTCGGGCAGAAATGTAGATAAAAATAATGAAATCCTGTTCCCCAAGCAAGTGCAAGAACCACAGAGTCAAGAATAGGTTAAATGTACAAATAAAATAAAATCAATTAAAAACAATAGCACATCAACATAAAAACATATAAACATAAAGCTGGAGCCTGAGGACAGTGTCCAAAAGCACAACATCACTATTAATCATAAAACACGTCAAGTTTATTTGAAAATTCTAAAGAAAAAGAACACACAAACACACAATGCCTCAGTGATTAACAGAACTGTTTCACAGATCACAGAACTATATCAGGGTGTCATTTCTCGGGCAGAAATGTAGATAAAAATTATGAAATCCTGTTCCCCAAACAAGTGCAAGAACCACAGAGTCAAGAATAGGTTAAATATACAAATAAAATAAAATCAATTAAAAACAATAGCACATCAACATAAAAACATAAACATAAATCTGAAAGCGTTGCTCAAACTCCCGTAACAGTCCCGTTATTTTATCTTTGAACCGCTTCATGTCTGCCACATGTTGGGTCGCGCACACATTTTTCAGACAGGGGAAGTGAGCTGCATCACCACCGGCAAGTTGCGTCTCCCACAATGACAGCTTCAACTTGAAAGAACGTATGCTGTCATAATACTGCGTGACAACTTTATTGCGCCCTTGCAGCTGTTTGTTCAAGTTATTCAGGTGCTCTGTAACATCCACCATAAATGCAAGGTCCTGCATCCATTCTGCGGAATGAAATTCTAACACTGGTTTGCCCTTTTCTTCCATGAACTAACTGTTCAATTTCTTCTCGTAAATCAAAGAAACGCCTCAGCACAGCACCTCGGCTTAACCATCTTACCTCAGTGTGGTATGGCAGGCCATAGATGTGGTCTTTCTCTCTGAGAAGGCTGTCAAACTGACGGTGATTCAGGCTTCTGGATCGGATGAAATTAACAGTTTGGATTACCACCTTCATGACGTTATCCATCTTTAATGACTTGCAACACAAAGCCTCCTGGTGCAAAATACAGTGAAAAGTCAAAAAATCACGTCCTCCATTTGCAGATTGCACTTTCTCTCTGAACTTTGTCACAACGCCTGCTTTTTTCCCGATCATTGAGGGCGCACCATCTGTAGCCAGGCTGACAGCGCGGGACCAGTCCACTCCGACCCTGTCCAGCGCGCCGACGAGTGCGGTAAAAATATCAGCTGCTGTCGTTGTATCTGTCATCGGCACGAACTCCTCGGTGACGGTCAATGTGTCATCAACTCCGCGGATGAAAATGGCCAGTTGTGCAACATCTGTAATGTCCGTGCTTTCATCAATTGCAACCGAAAACGCAATAAATGACTTTACTTTTTGCTTCAACTGGCTGTCCAAATCCACTGAAAGATCGGAAATCCTGTCTGCAACTGTGTTTCTTGTCAGGCTGATATTTGCAAAAGCCTGCCGCTTTTCAGGGCACACAATCTCCGCTGCCTTCATCATGCATGTTTTTACAAATTCACCCTCACTAAATGGTTTTGAAGCCACTGCGATTTCATTAGCAATGAGGTAGCTAGCTTTCACTGCAGCGTCACTGATGTCTCGGCTGTGAGTAAACACAGACTGCTGTTTCTTCAGACCCGCCAACAGTTCATTCACCTTCTCTCATCTCCGCTGTCCTTGAAAGTTGTCATATTTGTCGGCATGAAGACTCACATAGTGGCGACGAAGGTTATATTCTTTCAGCACTGCAACATGCTCTGAACACACCAAACATACAGCTTTCCCATTCAATTCCGTGAATAAATAGGATGACCATTTTTCTTGGAACACTCTGCACTCTGCGTCCACTTTTCTCTTTTTTGACAGAGACATATTGGGGCAATGAGGGTGCCAAAGCACATAATGTTAAAAGTAGAAGCCGTAATAAATATCGCGGGCAAAACAAAGTAGCTCATTGGCTGCACGTGCTTGACCTACTTGCTCTGCCCCGGTATAAACAGTTTGCTTGCTTAACACAATTGCTATTGCGCCATCCAGTGGACGCAATTGGAACAGCAGTTTATTTTATTGAAAAATTGCAGCGCATTCTTATACTTTACAAAATATATATATATATAATAATAATAAAAATATATATATATATTTTTTTTTCACAATCATCTCGCGGGCCGGATTAAACCCGTTTGCGGGCCTGATCCGGCCCGCGGGCCGTACGTTTGACACCCCTGACATAGAGCCATGACTACATGGAACTCTATTCCACAATCAGGTAACTGATGCAAGCAGTAGAATCAGAAAAAAAAAAAAAAAAAGATAAAAATACACCTTATGGAACAGCGGGGACTGTGAAGCAACACAAACATAGGCACAGACACACGCATACACACACATGATAACGTACGCTCTATACACGCGTACACATGGATTTTGTGTGGTAGTGGAGTAAGGGCCTGAGGGCACACACTTATTAGTGTGCTGTGAAATCTGTTATGAATGTATTGTAATGTTTTTTTTAAAATGTATAACTCCCTTAATTTTGCTGGACCCCAGGAAGAGTAGCTGCAATGGGGATCTATAATAAATACAAACTTAACTCGGTTTCCTCTCTCAGCTCCTGCTCCCCAGCGGTGTGACTGTGGAGGTGATCGTAGTGAACGTTGTGTCAGCGGGTCACCTCTTCGTTCAGCAGCACACACACCCTACGTACCACGCCCTACGCAGCCTGGACCAGCAGATGTTCCTGTGCTACTCCCAGCCAGGGACACCCACCCTGCCCTCGCCTGCTGAGGGTAAGAGACCCCCAAGGAGGGACGTGTGTGTCTGGATGTTTTTGAACCAGGTGTGTGTGTGATCCAGACTCGATGCTCTCCCTCTCTCTGTCTCAGTGGGGGTGATCTGTGCGGCGCCGGCGGTAGAGGGAGCCTGGTGGAGAGCCCAAGTCATCTCCTTCTACAAAGAGACCAACGAGGTTGAGATCCGATATGTGGACTATGGTGGCTATGACCGAGTGAAGATCGACACACTACGGCAAATAAGGTTGGCCCCCCTCAGACACAAATGACTCTGGAGGCTGAAAAAAGCATGGATAGTTGATGCACGTTTTCAGGGTTGTGGGCAAATTTTTTCCAACTCAGGTCTATTCAGAAAAAGTTGTCAAAACTGAAATTCAGAAGAACTGGAATCTTTACATACTTTCAAAGCTGTTTTCATAAAATGTTCCTTCATTTCTTTCCTAAATTGAATTGAGTTTAGATAAAATAGACCCCAGTACTCCTATGTATTCGTTCAACCCTTTTTGTTTGAAAATTGTGACCCCCTCTGGTCAAAAATAGTTGTATCATATATAATGTTATGTAAGAAGGTATGGTGGGTCTTTCTACAAACTGACTGACTGTTCTTATGTAAAACCCTTATTTTCAGGTCGGACTTTGTAACATTACCGTTCCAAGGTGCAGAAGTATTACTGGACAACATCGCCCCTCTTCCAGGTAATGTCATTTAATTTAGCTATTTGACATGGTATCACTTTACAATTGCGATAGATGTCTTATTCTCAAGGATGATTTCCAAAATCAAGAAACAAATCCAATTGAATGTAAAACTGTTCCGAAGTCATCCTGCCTGTGGAAGGTTGTCAAATCTGCGTTAACACATCTATAAATACATCCATCCACAGGAGAAAACAGCTTTTCAACCGAGGCCACCTCTGCACTGGAGGAGATGACGAGAGGGGTAGCACTGCTTGCACAGGTAAACAAAAATACAACATACAGATAGCTGGAAGGCACTGTACTGGAAGGCACTGCGCTCTACAGTAATGCACGCTTCACAGAAGGTAATTTGTTGCTAACCTGGCTGTTTCCTCTCTTCCAGGTCACAAACTACGACAACAACACTGGTCTCCCATTGGTCCAGATGTGGAACATGGTTGGAGAAGAGGTACGTTCAAATTGATCATGGGATTTGGCATGAAAATGTTTGAAATACTACAATGTAATTGTAAAAATGTCAATTTGGTAAAGTGGATAGTCTTTCATTGTGGTGTATGGTTCATATACAGTGGGGGGGAAAAAGTATTTAGTCAGCCACCAATTGTGCAAGTTCTCCCACTTAAAAAGATGAGAGGCCTGTAATTTTCATCATAGGTACACGTCAACTATGACAGACAAATTGAGGAAAAAAAATCCAGAAAATCACATTGTAGGATTTTTAATGAATTTATTTGCAAATTATGGTGGAAAATAAGTATTTGGTCACCTACAAACAAGCAAGATTTCTGGCTCTCACAGACCTGTAACTTTTTCTTTAAGAGGCTCCTCTGTCCTCCACTCGTTACCTGTATTAATGGCACCTGTTTGAACTTGTTATCAGTATAAAAGACACCTGTCCACAACCTCAAACAGTCACACTCCAAACTCCACTATGGCCAAGACCAAAGAGCTGTCAATGGACACCAGAAACAAAATTGTAGACCTGCACCAGGCTGGGAAGACTGAATCTGCAATAGGTAAGCAGCTTGGTTTGAAGAAATCAACTGTGGGAGCAATTATTAGGAAATGGAAGACATACAAGACCACTGATAATCTCCCTCGATCTGGGGCTCCACGCAAGATCTCACCCCGTGGGGTCAAAATGATCACAAGAACGGTGAGCAAAAATCCCAGAACCACACGGGGGGACCTAGTGAATGACCTGCAGAGAGCTGGGACCAAAGTAACAAAGCCTACCGTCAGTAACACACTACGCCGCGTAGGGACTCAAATCCTGCAGTGCCAGACGTGTCCCCCTGCTTAAGCCAGTACATGTCCAGGCCCGTCTGAAGTTTGCTAGAGTGCATTTGGATGATCCAGAAGAGGATTGGGAGAATGTCATATGGTCAGATGAAACCAAAATAGAACTTTTTGGTAAAAACTCAACTCGTCGTGTTTGGAGGACAAAAAATGCTGAGTTGCATCCAAAGAACACCATACCTACTGTGAAGCATGGGGGTGGAAACATCATGCTTTGGGGCTGTTTTTCTGCAAAGGGACCAGGACGACTGATCCGTGTAAAGGAAAGAATGAATGGGGCCATGTATCGTGAGATTTTGAGTGAAAACCTCCTTCCATCAGCAAGGGCATTGAAGATGAAACGTGGCTGGGTCTTTCAGCATGACAATGATCCCAAACACACCGCCCGGGCAACGAAGGAGTGGCTTCGTAAGAAGCATTTCAAGGTCCTGGAGTGGCCTAGCCAGTCTCCAGATCTCAACCCCATAGAAAATATTTGGAGGGAGTTGAAAGTCTGTGTTGCCCAGCGACAGCCCCAAAACATCACTGCTCTAGAGGAGATCTGCATGGAGGAATGGGCCAAAATACCAGCAACAGTGTGTGAAAACCGTGTGAAGACTTACAGAAAAGGTTTGACCTGTGTCATTGCCAACAAAGGGTATATAACAAATTATTGAGAAACTTTTGTTATTGACCAAATACTTATTTTCCACCATAATTTGCAAATAAAATCATATAAAATCCTACAATATGATTTTCTGGAATTTATTTTCTCATTTTGTCTGTCATAGTTGACGTGTACCTATGATGAAAATTACAGGCCTCTCTCATCTTTTTAAGTGGGAGAACTTGCACAATTGGTGGCTGACTAAATACTTTTTTCCCCCCACTGTAGCCCTAGACATTTCAGGTAAACATTCAGATGATGGCTGGCTAACTACACTGTCGGTATCAATGATGTTGTTTTACACTAATATGATGAATCTATCTTTCTCCATCTTGCTCTCTGCTTCCCTCCAGCTGGTATCAGTGAACCGCACACTGGCAGAGCGAGCATTGGGTACCTGGGTGGACAGCTTTTGAACCTTGCTGCCCCACCCCCACCCCTCAACCCCTTCTCAGCTCCACCACACCCCTCCTAGACCCCTTCTTCTCACCTAATCTCTGGAGTCTGACCCCACCAGCCCTCCAGAAACAATCCATAACACTTCAATGGAAGAACACAACCACTGGATTTGGGAATACTTTCTTTGTTTGATTTTGTTTGTTGGGTTTTTACACCACGTTTCAAAAAGGAAATTAAAAATGGTTGTATGCAGAAAAAAAAGAGAACGAAGTACTGCTTCAGAATAAAAGTATCCTCTCCTCTCCTCCCCCACACACCAAAATAACGTAAAGGGAAATAAAGTACTTGTACATTTTTAAAATAAATCTATATTGTAACTAAATAAAGGTCGATCCGATTTTTCGTCCTACCTGACGTTTCACTCCACAGCTTTGCCTGTTGATTCTCATCATGCTGTGGATGTATAACTCAACTCAATAGAAAACACTGTCTGTCAATGGAGAACTAACCTCACTGTCAGCTGTAACTACATATATACACTTGTATAGTGACATCAAAGGAATTGGTCTGTGAAGACTGGGCTAAATGTGAGGTTTCTAGATTATTGTGCATAGTGCAATAGCCACAGTCTCCATTTAATGTGCTGGCTGGCTGTGTCTCGTCGTTCCGTCCCATCATGACAGCCGTGGACATACAGGCCTGGGGGGGCTAAGAATGGCGTCTGGATTCACGGTTGTGACTAACGCCCTCGTCTGTGGAGACAAAATAAATGTAGATCTCAGCTTTGTTGGTGCTCACCACAACTACAGTCAAGGATCCGGATGGGGTGGGGGTGAGTCCTGTCGCCGACCCCCTGACCTGTGTGACTGACTAGGAGAAGGCGCAGAACCGGGGTCCCAGGAGTTGTGTGAAGGCCTGCTCATCTGCCCTGGCCTCTCCAGTCCGTACAACACTGTGGCCTTATGGAGAAACCAAATGGGCTTCCTTTTCTGGGATCTCCAACTGATCTGCAAGCAGACCAGCCTGACCCCTCCTCTCTCCATCTGTGTGGCCCGGGGTGTCACCATGCAATCGCAGGTTGCCTTCACCGTCTATCCATCGTCCTGCCTGGCATCACAGCTGGTGCCCCCACCACTACATTTCAGATCCACTACTGTTATCTGGAGCTGTAGAGTCTGGGACATGGCATGGGGCTGGCTGTCTGGGACATGCAACGGAAGGGTAGGGGTGCACTAGCGCCACTCTTTTCCCTCCCCCTCGACTGACTCCAGGGGCCTCGTGTAACTCTTGGTGCAGCTGTCTAAAGACTTCAAAAGAGCAGACACCACCGTGCGGTAGTATTGGTGTGTGGAAACACTACAACCACGGACAGTCCTCTGATACCTGGCCTGGAACTCTTACAGAACGGCTTTGAGTTAACGTAACTTAGCCCTGCTCAGTCGGGATATGCCCAGTGCTTATATAAAAAAAATCAGTCTGTCTTCTAATATGCATGTTAACCTGCCCAGGTCTGTGTCCCTCTTATGGTCTTCACTGTGTTTTCTCCTACATACTGATCCCGTAACATTATTACACATTACATTTGTGTTGCAGTTTCCATACTTAAAGCAGTTTAATGGATCCAAAATGAAGTCTTGCGGACAACTCACTCACTCTGTTTGGTACCCAGAGGGTTGGAATGGGTTTTTAGGCCCTTTGCACGGTGGGAAATGAGGTCCTTGAAGGTACCGGTCCTTTTCACTCAGCAATGTATGAAAGTACAGTGCAGTACAGAGAAAGTGAGCCATGAGGAATTAGTCTCTCACACTGCAGATATTATTGTAATAGATACAGTGCATTCGAAAAGTATTCAGACTCTTTAACTTTTTCCACATTTTGTTACGTTACAGCCTTATTCTAAAATGGATTACATTTTTTACAGCTCCAAGACAGGATTGTGTCGAGGCACAGATCTGGGGAAGGGTACCAAAACATTTCTGCAGCATCGAAGGTCCCCAAGATCACAATGGCCTCCATCATTCTTAACTGGAAGAAGTTTGGAACCACTAAGACTCTTCCTAGAGCTGGCTGCCTGGCCAAACTGAGCAATAGGGGGAGAAGGGCCTTGGTCAGGGAGGTGACCAAGAACCCGATGGTCACTGACCGAGCTCCAGAGTTCCTCTGTGGAGATGGTTGTCCTTCTGGAAGGTTCTCCCATCTCTGCAGCACTCTACCAATCAGGCCTTTATGGTAGAGTGGCCAGACGGAAGCCACTCCTCAGTAAAAGGCACATGACAGCCTGCTTGGAGTTTGTCAAAAGGTACCTAAAGGACTCTCAGACCATGAGAAACAAGATTCTCTGGTCTGTTGAAACCAAGATTGAACTTTTTGGCCTTAATGCCAAGCGTCACGTCTAAAGGAAACCTGGCACCATCCCTATGGTGAAGCATGGTGGTGGCAGCATCATGCTGTGGGGATGTGTTTTAGAGGCAGGGACTGGGAGACTAGTCAGGATCGAGGGAAAGATGAACAGAGCAAAGTACAGAGAGATCCTTGATGAAAACCTGCTCCAGAGCACTCAGGACCTCAGACTGGGGAGAAGGTTCACCTTCCAACAGGACAATGAGGAGTGGCTTCGGGACAAGTCTCTGAATGTCCTTGAGTGGCCCAGCCAGAGCATGGACTTGAACCCGATCGAACATCTCTGGAGAGACCTGAAAATAGCTGTGCAGCTCCCCATCCAACCTGACAGAGCTTGAGAGGATCTGCAGAGAAGAATGGGAGAAGCTCCCCAAATACAGGTGTGCCAAGCTTGTAGCGTCATACCCAAGAAGACTGCTGCCAAAGGTGCTTCAACAAAGTCCTGAGTAAAGGGTCTGAATACTTATGTAAATGTGATATTTCCGTTTTTTATTAATAATACATTTGCAAAAATGTCACTGTTTTTGCTTTGTCATTATGGGGTATTGTGTGTAGATTGAGGGGGGAAAAACAATTGAATCTATTTCAGAATAAGGCTGTAATGTAACTATGGAAAAAGTCAAGGGGTCTGAATACTTTCCGAATGCACTGTAGCTTTTCTCAAAGCTTCATACTGTAGCTTTGCTTTGGTCTTGTTGGGTTTTGCATAGGAATTAATTGCTTTGTCATTTATTGAACCAAATAAATGTTTTACATGTTTATCTGATCATGTTTCCTGATGGGTGTCCTGCCCACTGAGGCACAGAGGGCAGCTCCCACCCAACCCCCATCTGGGTGCTCTGCTTTTTGGTGTCGGAGACATTATTACTGTACTTCTAGATGTGGAGCGCTCATCTGTTCTGGCTCGTAGCCTCACAATGCATTTTAAAATATATATTTTTTAATAAAATCGTTGCTTTTGAATTTGTCCTATCATCTGCTAATCATACCCACTTGAATTGGATTGCTCTGGTAAAAAGGCAGCTTCCGTCCCTCTGCTTGGTCTTGTTGTGGCAGAGTTGAAGTTAAGAACAGGATAGAGTATGGATCTTACCTAACGGTTTCCCTTGACTGTATTCCTGCATTACTATTAAAACTGACAGCATTGGCATGTAAACAACATTACAAAGGACTTACCGCCTAAACATATTGATCACATAAGTTAACTGCACTTTCTCAACCTTGCTACTAGTGAAGTATACATTTCACAAGTTTTGTGGGATAGATTGAACCATGTTTCAGGAATGGTTAGTTATGAGGTCGTTTCACATGCTGCTAGTTCAGAAGGCAGCTGTTACAAGGTGTTTAAATGTCAGTTATTAGTCTGTCCAATGTTAGTACTCTATCTCCCCTACCCTATAACTGCTAATGTTTGTGGAACCATAGGAAGTCAGGGATCTAGCTACTAACTTACTACAAATTCAAGGGACTTACATGTCAAGGCTAGCTAAGGTTAGAGTCACAAGCTGGCGTGGGGCAGCAGCCATATTGTTTGAGCTTGTCAGCCCCTCAACTTCATGTTTAAAAGAGCCATTTCAACCAATGTCCTCTCCTCCTTGATTCCAGCTTGGTTATGTCACAATCAGTATAGATTAATTACTCCATTGATCCAAATGACACCCATCTGCCCTGTCTCTCAAACTCCTTTCATGCTTGATCAAACCAGAATTATCTAGACATGTGCAGGTCTGTGTAAATAAGATATTTCACTGTACTTTTGTATAACACTGGAAACAAAGGGAACATGTTTTTTTTGTTTTTGATTCACCCCTTCCAAAAAAGCTCATTGTTCTGTCGGTAGGACTGGTTTGAAGTGTTTGCTTAGCTAGATAATTAATAATTTGATTATTTAAATGAGTGTAAGCAATCCTGCCTAGAGCATTTAACATGTACAGGTCAGTTTTTGCAAGGCTCATCAAAGGTTTGATTCTTGGTTGTACAGATCTATAAAATAAAGTTATTAAATGCTACTGTTCTGTTATGAAATGTTCTGAAAATGTATGATTGTCTTACATTACACCCTCAATGTGGAGGTGAAGATCTACTGTACATGTTCATTATGTCCAAGCAGTGTCAATTCAATACTCTCAAATGCACAGAATCACATACAGCACTTTGACAACTGCTGATGTAAAAATGGCTTTATAAAATATGTTTTATAGAAATTTGATAGCAAAGAGTTCAAGGGCAACTCCACCACTTTTCAACCTAATTTTTATTTTCTCCAGCACAATACCATTGTTTACATATGTGTAAATGGTGCATTTCTACATTTTATAGAAAAAATATGAAGTTCAGAAGTTCTACCCGATGATATCAAAAGTTAAAACATTTGTAAAAAAGTGATTTTCAAACGCCATGAGATTCGTGGTGATGTGGGGAGCAAAAAAAGACCCTCCCTCTGGCTAGAAACTTGTTGCAGGTTTTGAAAATCACCTACCCTGTGATATCAGAGGTATTTTTTTATGACCTTATCTTTTTAACCACAGATCATAGCAATTCACCATTTCACATATGTAGACACTGGTATAGTGCTGGAGCTAATAAATATGAGGTTGAAAAGTGGTGGAATTGACCTTGATAATAATACCATTTATTTTTGAAAGTTTTTTGGTGTTTGCAAAACGCTCTATTTACATGTATTCCTTTTGGAGGTTGCATTGGATAATACTCTTATTGCAGGACAAAGATCATACTGGCTTGGTTTTACTCATACAGTGGCTTGCGAAAGTATTCACCCCCCCTTGGCATTTTTCCTATTTTGTTGCTTTACAAAATGGAATTAAAATTGATTTTGTTGGGGGTTTGTATCATTTCATTTACACAACATAACTACCACTTTGAAGATGCAAAATCTTTTTTATTGTGAAACAAACAAGAAATTAGACAAAAAAAACAGAACTTGAGCGTGCATAACTATTCACCCCCCCAAAGTCAATTCTTTGTAGAGCCACCTTTTGCAGCAATTACAGCTGCAAATCTCTTGGGGTATGTCTCTATAAGCTTGGCACATCTAGCCACTGGGATTTTTGCCCATTCTTCAAGGCAAAACTGCTCCAGCTCCTTCAAGTTGAATGGGTTCCGCTGGTGTACAGCAATCTTTAAGTCATACCACAGATTCTCAATTGGATTGAGGTCTGGGCTTTGACTAGGCCATTCCAAGACATTTAAATGTTTCCCCTTAAACCACTCAAGTGTTGCTTTAGCAGTATGCTTAGGGTCATTGTCCTGCTGGAAGGTGAACCTCTGTCCCAGTCTCAAATCTCTGGAAGACTGAAACAGATTTCCCTCAAGAATTTCCCTGTATTTAGCCCCATCCATCATTCCTTCAATTCTGACCAGTTTCCCAGTCCCTGCTGATGAAAAACATCCCCACAGCATGATGCTGCCACCACCATGCTTCATTGTGGGGATGGTGTTCTCGGGGTGATGAGAGGTGTTGGGTTTGCGCCAGACATAGCGTTTTCCTCGATGGCCAAAAAGCTCAATTTTAGTCTCATCTGACCAGAGTACCTTCTTCCATATATTTAGGGAGTCTCCCACATGCCTTTTGGCGAACACCAAACATGTTTGCTTATTTTTTTCTTTAAGCAATGGCTTTTTTTCTGGCCACTTTTCAGTAAAGCCCAGCTCTGTGGAGTGTACGTCTTAAAGTGGTCCTATGGACAGATACTCCAATCTCCATTGTGGAGCATTGCAGCTCCTTCAGGGTTATCTTTGGTCTCTTTGTTGCCTCTGATTAATGTCCTCCTTGCCTGGTCGGTGGGTTTTGGTGGGCGGCCCGCTCTTGACAGGTTTGTTGTGTGCCATATTCTTTCAATTTTTTAAAAATTGATTTAATGATGCTCCTTGGGATGTTCAAAGTTTCTGATATTTTTTTATAACCCAACCCTAATCTGTACTTCTCCACAACTTTTTCCCTGACCTGTTTGGAGAGCTCATTGGTCTTCATGATGCCGCTTGCTTGGTGGTGCCCCTTGCTTAGTGGTGTTGCAGACTCTCTGGCCTTTCAGAACAGGTGTATATATACTGAGATCATGTGACAGATCATGTGACACTTAGATTGCACACAGGTGGACTTTATTTAACAAATTATGTGACTTCTGAAGGTAATTGGTTGCACCAGATCTTATTTAGTGGCTTCATAGCAAACGGGGTGAATACATATGCACGCACCACTTTTCCATTATTTATTTTTTATAATTTTTTTCATTTCACTTCACCAATTAAGACTATTTTGTGTATGTCCATTACATGAAATCCAAATAAAAATCCATTTAAATTACAGGTTGTAAATGCAACAAAGTAGGAAAAACGGCAAGGGGGATGAATACTTTTGCAAGGCACTGTATGTTGACTTTCTGCTCGTGCATTTTGTGTTTTTAGGGGTTTAACAGCAACGCTAGAGGCCATGAGTAACTTGGTCAAAAATAATGGCACCGATT